AGTGAGGGGCATCTGGGAGCAGGGAGAAGGTAGCAGTGGGTTTTATACCCAAGTAAAGGGACCCCAGCATCCCTCGGCCCTGGGTGCCTGGTGACAGCAGCGAGGATGGGGGGAGGGCGTGTGTCCCCAGGGGAGGGGACACAGCTGCTCCCTCCCCAAGTCACCTCTGGAAGGACCCGGATCTGACAATGACGGCTGGCTGGGCAGAGGACTGGAGTCACCGGGTGGCTGGGGACTGCCCAAGTTCCCCCTACCCACCCAATGCCTGATGCTTTCCAGAAGCTTCTTCAGCTCCCTTCCCACTGCTTCTCTCTACACTGTACGTGGGCAGGTGGGGGGACTGTGCAGGGACTGGGGGGTGGGGACAATAATGCAGGGACAGGCCAAGGGCACAGTGCAGGGGCAGATGGGTTTATGTGGAGGTGGGGGGTGGACAGGGCTGACCCAGGGGTGAGAGAACCCCAGAGCCATCCCCTGGGTCCCACAGTCAGGGCCTGACACCCACTGCGGGGAGGTGGGCGGATGAGCAGATACCAATCCCAGCCCTGTGGGATGGAGACCCCCTCATGGCGCCCATGGGAGGGTGGGGGGCTAACTTCGCCCCTAACTTGGAGAAGCTGAAAGGAGCAGGGCGGGTCACTCATAGGCCAGTGTCCCTTCGGAGGAAGGACCCACACAGCCACAGGGGGCTCCTGCACCCCCAGAGCTGCTTTCCAAGCAATGGATTTGGATTGCCCTGCCCATCAGGCTACCTACCCCAGACTCAGCACAGCCCCTCTGCCCCATCCTCAGCTCTCCCGCTTCCTTTCTTCTGGGCAACGGTGAGTTTTGGAAACTCGGCAAATTGCAGCGTATAAGAAAGCGGTCATGAAGAAGCAGCTGCGCTCCCACACCTGAACGCAGTGTCACTCTGCGAGCGAACGGGCACCCTGGAGTCTACTGCCTTTGGCCGTGAAGGGGCGAGTCGTTCTGTTCTCTGCACCCCTGCACTCTCGCGCACACTGTATGGTGACACACACTCAAGGAGTAGGGACTGTGTGCAGGGCCGAGTGAGGGGTGGGGCGGGGGTGAGGTGGATGTGTGTGAGGCAGGTTTGTGCAGGGCTGAGTGCATGAGTGAGGTGGGTGACTGCAAGTGTGAGGTGAGCATGTGCAGGGGTCAGTGGGGGGGTGAGGTAGGTATGTGCAAGGTCTGTAGGTATGTGCAAGAGTGAGATGGGCATCTGCAGGGGTGAGGAAGGTGTGTGCAGGTGAGTGTTCAGGGGTCAGGCAGGCATGGCAGGGTGAAACAAGTGTGTGCAGGGGTGAGACTGGCGTGTGCAAGATGAGTATTCAGGGATCAGGCAGATATGTGCAAGGGCAAGATGGCTGTGTGCAGGTTGTGAAGCAGGTGTGTTGAAGGATGAAATGGGCGTGTGCAGGGGTAAGGCAGGTGTGGGCAGGGTGAATGTGCAGGGATGAGGCAGGCATGGGCAGGGCGAGTGTGCAGGGGTGAAGCAGGTGTGGGCAGGGTGAGTGCAGGGGTGAGGCGGGTGTGGACAGGGTGAGTGCAAGGGTTGGGCAGGGTGAGTGCAGGGGTGAGGCAGACATGGGCAGAGTGAGTGTGCAGGGGTCGGGCAGGGGTGGGCATGTGTGGGCAGGGTGCGTAGGGGTTAGGCAGGTGTGTGCAAGAGTGAGTCCAGGGGTCAGGCAGGGGTGGGCATGGAAAGGGGTGTGGCTCAGCTGGTGTTTTGAAAAGCTGCTGTGTGGGCCTGGGGGGAGGGGGGAGCGAATCTGCATGCCCTTGAGCCCAGCTGTGCCCAGGTGCTACTCTGTTGTTAATCTGCTCTGTCACCCACTTTCCTCCTGGTCTCCGGCCCGCCCTCTGCTTGGACTCCCCCAGCCTCCGATGCCTGCTCCCCACTTGCCCTGTGAAAGGCTCTTTCCTGGCCTCAGGGTTCGTGGCCAGGGAGAGGTCAACCTAGGGCCGCTTCCTGCTTCTCCTGGGCCAGGAATGCGCTCTGGGGGAGCTGGGCAGAGCCCCATGTAGGCCCCCTGCTCTGCCAGCCGGGCTGGGCACCGTGGCTGCTCCTCAATCCCCGTTGCTTTGCAAACAGTCTGGTTGCCAGCGCTGCCAGAGCACTCCTGGCTGTCCCCAGCTCCCCGGGGCCCTCTCACTTGGAGAGGCAGAGCCTGACCGAGTTCTTGGTGGGGACAGGGGGAACAGGTCACTACAGAGCACAGGGAGTCCCGCCTTCAGCCAGCCCAGAAGCCCACCCCTGCCTGCCTGCCTGTCTCCCTCACAGCCGGGGTGGAATTGGGATGGGCCACGTGCTTACACTCCTGGACTATCTCCCTGGCGACGCCAGAACAGGATCTGTCTGGTCCCTCAGACCCCCAGCTCCCCGAACCCCTCGTCTCCAGAGGGCTCCAACACAGTGGGGCTGGTGCTTACGGGTCTGCCGCTCATGCCCATCCTGGGACGTCCTGCCCAGCACTTCACTCGTGGACAGTGAAGTGGGCAGAGTCGGAGGCAGTGAGGCGCAGAGGCCCAGGGCCCACAGTTGTGCCTGCCGGAACAGAGCCGAACTCCCCCGAGAAGCCCCTCAAACTTGGGGTCAATGAATGAGATGTTCAGAAACCAGCATCTTGCCCCTCCCCCACCCACTCCGGCCCGTCCTTCCAGGGCAGCTGCCGCTGGTCCCGTCCGTGAAGGCGCACAAACGTGCCTCTCCACCGTGTGTGTAGGGGGTGCGCCACCAGCCCTGTGGCCAGGCGTGTGTGTCCACAGGCTGATGAGCCAGGGAGGGGCCACACTTGGTGATGGGCCGGAGGCAGGTTCCCACTCACGCCCCAATTCAGGAAGAGGCTTGAGCGGGTGGGCCTTACGCATGGGTGGGGGGGCGTGGGGAGCCCCGGGCAGCGGAAGCTGGAACCGAGTCCCTTCCTCTGAGCTTGGTGGCTGTCAGTGCCTGGGCATGAAGCTGCCAAGCTGTGTAGTAGCACGGGTCTACTCCAAAGACCACAGTGGGTGGGCACCCGTCAGCCAGGAGTCACCCCAGGGCCACTTCCTGCTTTTCCTGGGCCAGGAACGCGCTCTGGGAAATCCTGGTCTCCCCACCTTTTCAGGGGCTGAGGGGATGACCAGCGAACACTTTTACAGATTTAGGGCTCCTTGTTCCAGCTGTGGGGCCTCCATCATCCTTGGGAGCTCAGGTGCTGACGGCTCGGACCCAGGACGCTCCTCGGAGAGGCCGCTGGGGTCCTGGCCGTCCAACACAGGCTGTCATGCCCAAGCCGCTTCCTGACCCAGGTGCCCACTGGCGCGAGCGCCATCACCTCCTGCTCCAGGAAGGACTGTCACTCGCCGGCCATGTGTTTATCCTGTTTCTGCGAAGCTGCCCGCTCCGGCTAATGCCTGCTGCAGGGGAAGTGTGGGTTGGAGCGGGTGAGCCCACCTGCCAGGACCCCAGGGCCATGCCCCCCTTCCCATGTCAGCTTCAGTTCCTGCCTCAGCTCAGAACACTCGGGCTCCACAGAAGTGATGGGAAACCCACGCTTGGGTGCACAGACCCCCCCACCCCCGCACCCCCAGGTGCATGGTGCACGCCCCCCTCGCCATGCCCACGTGCACGGTGCAAGCCCCCACCGCCCCCACATGCATGGTGCACGCCCCCACCTCCCCCGCACGTGCAGGGGGCGCGCACGCATGCACGGCAGCGCTCTCCCGAGTCTCTGCTCACACAAGCCAACGTCTGTCCCTGGGGGGTGAGTGGGCGGGGCCCCAGCGCTGAGCTTGGAAGAGGTTGGCCCCTGGGAGACTGGCCTGGCATACGGCCGCATGTGCCAAGCCAGGGTGGACAGAGCGTTCCTTGGGCGGTGCTGGGGGCACATGGAGGACCGAGTCCACAGCTCCAGACCGTTCCTTGGCAAGCTTCGCAGCCTGGAGAGGGAGGAGGAGGTCCCTGTGTCGCCCACACCCCTCCACGCCCGCTGGCGGCTGTGCGCCCCCGGCCCTGCCCCAGTCCACAGTGCCCTGTTCGCTCTCGGTGTGCCGGGGCAGCAGTGAGCACCCGGACTTCATCACTGGGCGCATTGCCTGTCTGAATCGGGGGTTCCGGGGTCTTGAGTCCGGAATAAGGGATGGGGCAAGTGCTGACGTGGTTTCTCCCTTCTCGTCCCTGCCTCATCCATCCCTGAGGGCGGGTCCTCAGCGGATCACACCATCTTGACGCTTCAGGACTTCCGGGCTAAATGTGGTCCTCGTTCCCTCCTGCCTGGTCCCCTTGTCCTGTGGTCCAGAGGGCAGGGGCCTGACGCTCTGCTCCCAACCCCCGTTCTTCGGCACTTGATACCCACAGCAGAGGGTAGAGGCTGGGGGTGGCAGGGCGCCGCACACAGCTGTGGGAAGGGGGTGCGCCCAGCAGGGTCCAGGCTCCTGGTCTCTGCCAGGTCACCTGCCCCTGGGCAGCGGGATGCTGTGGCACTGCTGGATGGGTGCCCGGCGCGCTCGGGGCCTGCTGGGGCCTGCCCTCAGACTTGTCTCATGAAAACAACTCAAAGGGAGGTGGGAGGTGGGACCTCCGGAAGTGGGACTCTAAGTGGAAAGGCCAAGGCCCGGGGCGCCCCAGCAGGAAGCCTCAGCTTGCCCCTGCTGTGGTTTGAGGCCAAGTGGACTGAGACAGAGCTCCCGGGACAGAGGCTCTTTGGCGGGATTGGAGGTATCAGGGCTGGTGTGTGCCCAGGGGTGGTGCCCCCAAGAGTCCCTCTAGGGTCTAATGGGAGGTCTGTGCACTGTCCGGGATGTGGAGTGCTGGGGGTGGGGGATCACACTGGCTCTTCGGGGTGGCTGCTTAGGGACTGCAAGGGACAGACCTGAGGGGGGGTGGAGGCGTGGGACCACTGCCCGTCCCGCCCAGACCCCGCCCTCCCCTCTAGCTCCGCCCAGGCCCCCCTGCAGCCCCCTTCTCCCTGCCCTCCATAGCCCCCCCTTGCCAAGCTGACCTCTGCTGCTCCCCGCAGGTGCACTTTCCGCTTCCCCAGCACGGCCATCAAGGTCCAGTTCACGTCGCTGCTGCCCCAGGAGGAGGCCCCGGTGTCCCCGTTGCGTCCGCTGTACCCGCACATCTCCCCGCTGAAGATCCACATCCCGGAGCCGGATCTCCGGAGCCTGGTCAGCCCCGTCCCGTCCCCAACCGGCACCATCAGGTGAGGCACCAGGGCCGCACAGGGGGCACGGGTGGGCGTTTGCGAGGGCAAAGTTAGCACCTGATCTCACTGCTCCGGGGTGCCCCCGCGATGGGTCCCCCCAGTAAGGGGTGGGGTAACTGCTAGCGGTTGCTGCGGACCACTGCAGTCAAGACAGGAGCCGCTGCACAGATGCACCTGGGGCCTCGAGCTGGCCCTGTCTCCGCCCACAGCACCACCCACGAACTGAGGGTCTCCCCGAGCACGGTGCATGTGGCCCCCAAACCGAGGGAGAGTCAAAGGAAGATGTCAAGAACCTTGGAAAAGCCGTATTTAGGCTGGCACCTGCTCCTTCCCAACTGCGTTGTGGGCAGTGTTAGTCAGCCGCCTAATGAGGAAGAGAGGGTCCGGCTAGACTTGCCCGCCCCTTGATGCTTATGGCCCCACCCCGAACCCCCTTTGCCCCCCAACAGCTCAGACTAGAAAGGCTACACAGTGTTTATGGTCTCGCCAAGGACCCAGGTAGATACCAGGGGCTGGGGAGGGCCAACCTCCGTCTAGGACACTATCCGCTGTACCCCGGCCCCTGTGGCATCACTGAGCAGCCTGTGACCCTGATGATGCCATGACCCCTGTGCCCTTGAGTGCTGCCCACCCTCACCCCCACCCCCTGCATCAGTAAGGCCTGTCCTGATATTGCTGGAGACTCACTTGTCCTCAAGGACCCCCCCCTCCCCAAAGGAGCCATCAGGATCGTGGGATGTCCCTGCTATCTTGGAGCCTGGCTTCTCCACAGTCTCTTCTGAGGAAGAGCTTCTGCACGGAGGATGCCAGGCTCTGCGCAGGCTGCTCAGAGCCTCACCCAGCACCCCACCGAAGGGGGCACCCCCGCCCAGGTGACCTGGTCTCTCTAGCTCCACGCCAGTGGCTCGCAGCACCCTGAATGGTTCCGGGTTAAGTTGTGTTGGGTGGGAAAGGGGACATGTATGGAAGGATCATCCTGTGCCTTTCACCTCTTGGGGGTCCTGAGATGTGTTCTCCCACCCCCCCAACACACATGGGCACTGCTCCAAATGCAGCTGTTCCCTGGAGCAAACCAGCAGCTCCCCAAAATGGGCAGCTGGGCATCACATGACTACCCATTCTTGGTTCCTTGGTCTTGAGGCCCTGATGTGGCCCAGCTGTGGCTCCTGATGTTCCAAGGGGGAACATTCTGTCTCAGATCCGGTGAATTAGGGACGGACCCATGTGTGTTCTCAGACCTTGCTTTCCCTTGATGGGTGAGGGTAAGACACCCGTGATGTGCCATGGATGTGAGGTACCCGGAATGTTCCATCTGTGTGACATACCTGGAGTGTTCCTTAGATGTGACACACCCCAGAGTGCGCCATGGGTGAGAGACCCGGAATGTTCTGTAGATGTGAGACATGGGGGCGACTGGAACATTTCATGGACATGAAATTAGCGGAGAAGTGGCACTTCAGAGAAGCTGGCCAGGGGCCTGGGAGGCTGGTGCCTGTGCGGGAGACCCCCGGTTGCATGCTGGCAAGTCCACCTCATGCACACTCCATTGTCCATAGGCACTTTCCTGAGGGCCAGAGAGACAGGCACCCCAGGACAGTGGGCAAGGGACAAGGGGCCCAGCCTGTGGTCGGGTGCCCTACAAGCAGACTCCCTCAGAGCTGCCGTTGATGACACAAGGGGTGGGGTGGTGGGTGTGCCAGGAGGGCTTCGGAGAGTAAAGGCCATTCCCACAGGATTCCACCGGCAAAGTCGGCCCCTGGGGCTGAGAGCCCGCCCTTCCCGCTCCAGGCTGAGTCAGCAGGGGGGCCTGGGATTTGGAAGCCTTCAGACTTTGTCCAGCCCAGCGCAGGGCGGGGCTGTGATGTGGGGGTGCTGCGTCTGGGTGCCACGGGGAACGGGTCGCGAGGCGGGTCGGGAACGAGCCGGGAGGCGGGGCCGAGCGCACTGGGCTGTGGCTTGGCCCTGGCGCTGGGCTCCACCGCGCGTGGTCCTTCCCGGGCCAAGGAAAGGATTGCGGTACCCTCCCCCTCTATTCTCCGTCCCCCTCCCGGCGACTTTAGGGCCTGTGAGCTAAGCCCTGCGGAATCCGGGAGTGTGACCCTGGGGGGGGGGCTCTTCCCGAGGGGAGGGCCGGGCCCTGTGTTTACAAACACGCTCCTTCCTCTGCCCTCGGGGCCGCCCCGCCCTCTCGTTCTTGCTGCCTAATTTGGTGCGCACGCGCCGCGGCTCCCCATTGGCCAACGCTGCGCCCCTGTTGGCCTGCGCCGCGGCTCCCTATTGGCCAACGCCGTGGCTCCCCATTGGCCAACGCAGCTTCTCCACTGGCTGGCGCAGGCCTCGCCCTGCGGGGCCGTTGAGGGAGTGTCTCGCTTTCTTTCTCTTCTCTCCCCCCCCCTTTTTTTTTTTTGATATATTTGTTTTGGGCTTGGGGCCACGCCCAGCAGTGCCCCCAGCTAGCTCCTGGCTCTGCTCCCAGGGGTTATTCCTGGGGTGCAGCGAGTGGAGCCCCCCCCACACCCCCACCCGGTGCTCTCCCTCCGGCCCCTCCTGGACGCTGGGTGCTTGTGTAGACCCTGGGAGTGGGTTTGGCTTCTGGGCAGTGATTTGCCCCGCAACCACTGCCCTGTAGACAGGAGAGGCCGGCGGGGTTGTCACTTTCAGGACTTCCCCGAAAGCAGCCCCGGCTGCTGAAGCCAGATGGGGGCTGGGGGACACAGCTGCCCGCACGTGCGGGGCAGCTGGAGGGTATCCACACACCTCACCCCCTCGCCTTCCCCAGTAGCCACAGTGTTTGGGGGGGTCCTCCGTGGCCTTTGAGACTGCGTATTGGGGGGTCGCCGTTTCACAACTGCTTTTGTCTCCGCAAACCTGCGGCCCCACCCTTGCGTAGTGCTCGCTTCTGCGGAGCTGTCACGACCCCAGGTTGCAGCCCGCTCACCCGGGGAGGAGCGCGCCCCTCAGGATTCGGTGGGCCCCAGTGCAAGTTTGAGCCCCAGGAGCTCTCTGGTTTCTGCAGCCGTACCCACAGCTCGCCCCCCACTCCAGAAGTGCTGAGCCCACGTCATGACCCTTTGATGTTCTCCCTGTCAGGCTCCAGGAGCTTCTTTGGTGGGTGGCTTATACCCGATCACCCCTCCCAAGATGTGGGCACACCTCAGGCATATGCCCTCAGCCAGGGTGGGAAAATGGAGGACCAGCTTCAGAGCTCAGCGCATAACAGCTGGACACTGCAGAACAATGCCCAGGGACACAGGTGCCCGCCGTGCAGATACAGGCACGTGTCCTGTGGCGTCCAGAGCAAGCAGTGTCCCTTTGGTGCTGGGCTGGCTCAGCCTCTGGCTCAGCCTTTGTCAAGGCCCCTACCCCACCCTCATCCTTCAAGTTGAATTCCTCTCCCTACATCCTATGCGCCCCATCACCCTCCCTTTCTGCAGACCAGGAGGCTGGGGCTCAGCGGGAAGAGTCGCCCAGAGGCGGGGTGGTTTTTGCATGTGTTTGGTTCTTTGGTTTGGTTTAGTTTGGTTTGCTTTTTGGCTCAAACCCGGTGAGTCCAGACTCTGTTCTCAGGAATTACTCCTGGCAGGCTCCCAGATTGTATGGGATTGAACCCAGGGCGGCCAGTGCAAGGCCAGCCCCCTCCCCGCTGGACTGTCACTCGGGGCCCAGAGGGTGGGATTTATCAAAGTGCCTGTACTCGAATCCACAGGACCTGGTGGCTCAGAATGAGAAAGTCACAGCCCCTGGCCATGCCTCGGCGGGAGCTGGTGGACACCTGCATTGATCTGGGGAAGGATTTAGCGCCTCCGTCCCAGCCCCCCACTCCCACCCCCACCCTGACCTCCTGCTTTCCCCTACACACTGGTGTCCACGAGACACCAGGTCGGTTGCAGACTCGCAGTGAAACCAGCGTCGTGCAGTGAGTTTCCAGGCCTTGGTACTCTGGCAGACAGAGCCTAGTTTACACAACACGGGGCTGCTAGTGTGTGAAATGACAACATACATTCCTCAAATGCCGGGCGGGGTGGGGGCGGGGCGGGGTGCTGGGAGGAGGTTCGGGGGTAAAGCATCTGCAGTGCATCTGGCCCAGCATTGGTGCCCTCAACACAGCCAAGAGCACCACCCAGTGTGACCCCCAAAACCAATAACGCTGGGCTGGAGTTGCTCCCCGCTCTGGGAGTGCGTGCACTCCCCCACCCCCCACCTCTGGGCAGGCAGTAAGAGCAATGGTGCCACAGAGCACCAGGGCCCCATGTTCAGTGGGGTCTTGCCCTGGGCCTGGAGTAGGTAGCCACCCCGTAGTGCGACCTCTCCCACGACCACCTTGTCTTCCTCTCAGCACCTCCCCCCACCCCCCAGCTCGGTGCAACTGCCTACAGCCCCTCTGATACCACCTGCTGCTCACTCCTGACGGGCCCAGAGCTAAAACTACTGCCCGCCTGCCCACCTCCAAGTGCTTGGACCCAAACTCACACCTGCTCTTCTCTCCACAGTGTTCCCAACTCCTGCCCGGCCAGTCCCCGCGGGGCGGGCTCCTCCGGCTACCGCTTTGTGCAGAACGTGACCTCAGACCTGCAGCTGGCCGCCGAGTTTGCTGCCAAGGCCGCGTCGGAGCAGCAGGCTGACGCGTCAGGGGGAGACAGCCCCAAGGTGGATCCCGGCGGGGATTGGGGGGTTGGGGAGGCCTCTTCCCGCCTGAAGTCCACTCAGTGTCCACCTCGGCCCTCCCCGTGGGACACGGGCTGATGCCACCATCTGCTCGCAGGACGAGTCGAAGCCACCCTACTCGTACGCGCAGCTCATCGTGCAGGCCATCTCATCGGCGCAGGAGCGGCAGCTGACACTCAGCGGCATCTACGCGCACATCACCAAGCATTACCCCTACTACCGCACAGCCGACAAGGGCTGGCAGGTCTGTGCCCATGCGGGCACCGGGCGGGTGGGGGGCGGCCGGCGGGGCCTAGCCTGGGATCCAGCCTGCGCCCTGAGCAGAAGAGGGTCCAGGTCGTGACCCGAGACCACTGTCTTCTCCTGCCCGCCCGTTCCGCTCACGTCTGCATTTGGGTTGGGGCCAGGTTTGAGCTCCCTCCCGCGTGGCCATGTCAGTGTCAGGTGTCAGTGGCTCAAGTGGCAGAGCATGGCCTCGCCTGGGCCACACCCCGAGCATCTCCCCTGCCCGGCACCTCAGTGGGCACCGGCTGAGGCCACGCATCCTCTCGCCCACAGAATTCCATCCGGCACAACCTGTCCCTGAACCGCTACTTCATCAAAGTGCCGCGCTCACAGGAGGAGCCGGGTAAGGGCTCCTTCTGGAGGATCGACCCGGCGTCCGAGGCCAAGCTGGTGGAACAGGCCTTCCGGAAACGCAGGCAGCGGGGTGTCTCCTGCTTCCGCACCCCCTTCGGACCGCTGTCCTCAAGGTGAGCCTCCGGGCGGCAACTCAGAACTGCTTCCCACCTGAAGAGCACCGGAGTCTGACCCCTGCTGCGGGGGTTCCCTGCTACTGCCCATGGGGTTCCCGGCAGGCCTGATGGGAGCGGACAGATGGGCTGGGAAGATCGGGTGAGCAGTCAGAGTTCAGCTGGGAGCCCAGAGACTGTGGCTGGGGGGAGGAGCTCAGGGCCAGGCTGAGGCTGGACATGGAAAACGGTGGGCAGGGCCTGGACAAGCAGAGCCAGATGTGCCGGGAACCCCCGGGCCTTGGCGTGTGGGCTGTGGGGGTGGCCGGAGTATTCCTGGAAGACAGTGGGGCTGAGCCTGTGTTTATGGACGTGGGTTTGAGCCCGGGCAGGCGGGTGTGAGGGGCACTGAGTTGCTCTCCCCTGCGTCCCTGTGGGGGGTGTCAGCTTGGACCCCCAGAGATGCTCCTTGAGGGCCTGAGGCAGGCCGGCCCCAGGCTCGTCTTCACTTTGTCCTTACTGCAAGTTCTGGCACGGCAGCATATGGGGGTCCTCAGCTGCCCCCCCAGGTCCACCTATTCTCCACTCTGCCTAGGAGCGCGCCTGCATCCCCCACACACCCTGGGCTGGTGTCCCCACGCTCCAGTGGCCTGCAGACGCCCGAGTGCCTATCTCGAGAGGGCTCCCCCATTCCACACGATCCCGACTTCGGGTCCAAGTTAGCTTCCGTTCCTGAATACCGCTACTCCCAGAGCGCACCCGGTAAGCTGGCGGGGCCTCACGTTCGCGGCCCAGCGCCTGCCCACCTGTCCCAGGGGCTGGGGTTCATGCTGAGCCTTGCCCCCCGCCCCTGCACAGGCTCTCCTGTCAGCGCCCAGCCTGTGATCATGGCTGTGCCACCCCGCCCGCCCAGCCTGGTGGCCAAGCCCGTGGCCTACATGCCGGCGTCAGTGGTGACGGCTCCGCCAGCCCCCGGCCACGCCATCCACGTGCTGCAGCAGGCGCCCCCGGTGACCATGCTCAGGGTGGTGACCAGCTCGGCCAGCTCCGCCAATGGCTACATCCTCGCCAGCCAGGCCCCGCCAGGAGCTGCTCATGAAGCCACAGGCACGGCTGTGCTGGACCTGGGCAGCGAGGGCAGGGGTGAGGCTGTGTGGGGTGCCTGTTCTGGTGGGAGGGGTTCCCCGTCCTTTCAGACCTGTGTGGATTATCTTTGAACCCTGCGCTTGGGGGCGGGGCAAAGAGGGAAGGGGACCCTCTGGACCCCCAAACACTTGGGCGTCCCTAACGCAGTGTGAGCCCAGGGCCGGGTGGGCCGCGCCGAGACTCAGTAGGGCAATTAGAAGGTGTCAGCCCCGCCCAGCCTCACAGGACAGCGGTCTTGCATCCATCCCAGTGTCCAGTACACTTCAGCCCACACTCCAGCCAAGCATCTTGTTCCAAGGGATTCCTCTGGGTGTGCCGAAGTCTGGGGTCCCTTGTTCTCATGCCCATCCTCGGGAGTTCGCCCCAGGGGTCCCAACACTCCTCTGTTGCACAGGCCTGGAGGATAAACCCACCATCGCCTTTGCCACCATCCCCGCGGCCAGCCGAGTCATCCAGACAGTGGCCAGCCAGATGGCACCAGGAGTCCCCGGCCACACGGTCACCATCCTGCAGCCGGCCACCCCCGTGAGCCTGGGCCAGCACCCCCTCCCGGTGCGGGCCGTGACACAGAACGGGAAGCATGGAGTCCCCACCAGCAGCGTGGCCAGCAGCACTTACGGTGAGACCCTGTCCCCTCCTGTTTCAGCGTCCACAACAGGACTTGGGGGGACTCCCAGTCCAGAGGACTGGTTGGCATGTCTTACTGGAATAAATGGAGGGGCTCCCCCTGCCCCCCCCCCGAGCAGCTGGGTGGCCCCAAACCTCTCCTGGGGCCCAGCTGGCGCTAGCAGGAACCTCTTCCCTTCTTCCAGCCCTCACCAGTCCCCTGCAGCTCCTCGCCGCCCAGGCCAGCTCGTCCACGCCGGTGGTGGTCACGCGCGTGTGTGAGGTGGGGCCCGAGGAGCCCACAGCAGCCGCCCCAACCACTGCCGCCAGCGCCACCTCCGCTTCTCCCAGCGAGGAGCCCGAGGTGAAGCGACCACGTGTGGAGGTGCCCGGCGGGACGGTGCCCTCTCAGGCTGCAACGGTCACGGCAGGCAGCCCACAGGCACCGGGCTCCAGGGAGTGACGTCTGCGGGCGTCGGGGACCCGCGCCCCGGCGCTCCCCACCCTGGCGCCGGCCACCCTCCTCATCCTCTTGCACCCGCTGCGCTCAGAACGGAACCATAACCGAGTTCAGACGCTGGTTTCACGTGTCTGGGAACCCCCTGCCACTGCCCTCCCGGCCAGCCACCTCCCCAGGAACACGCCGGAGACAGATGGACAAGACGTGAGCAGTGGGCACCTTGCCAGTCAGTGGTGGTGTCCTGAGCTATTTCTAAAGGCTGCAGAGGAGCCGCCAGCACTCATGGGGGGGTCCCATTCCGTCGGGCTCCCCAAGCTTGTCCAGGTTTGATCTGGACTTGGAGCTGGGTCACTGACAGGAGCCCTGACCAGGTGGGCGTCGCTGACAGCCTGCGCTCTCTCTGTTAACTTCAAGGAAGGTCGAGGGCTCGGGCAGGAGAGGGCCAGCACACCCCGGGTCTGAGTCACCGTGCGATGGGACTGTCTGGGCGGCTCCGGTGACCGGGTTAGCCCAAGCCCTCCTGGCTCCTGACCTTCCCTGCCTCTTCCAGGAGGTTCTCAGAATGGTCACTCAGTCGCGGGTGGTGACTGTGGGAGCCCCTGCCCCCACCTTGGGGCTCCTGGGTCTGGTGGGCAGCAACTGTCCCATAGGGTCACGGCTGCTGATCGGAAGCCTCTGTGGCACTGAATTCTGAGAGGAAGGAGCCTCCGTCCCAAGTGGGTGGGGGTAGCTTCCGTTCCGTGAAGGCTCCTTTCTGAGCAGTCCTGGCTTTGTGGGGGCAGATGGGGTGAGCAGGGCTGCGCCTGGACTTGGGCAAGGCTGGGGGCCTCCAGGTCTCTTTCCCTTCTTTGTTGTTCTTCCCTGGGGCTGGGGGCGTTTTGTGAGGGGCTGCAGGAAGGAAACTGGCCCAGGGGTTGGGGGCAGCTGGCAGGCATCCCAAAAGTTCATCCCACCCGCTCCTGCATTCTCTCTCAGCTGCTGTGGGGGTGTAGGGTCCAGGCAGCTGAGCCCCTCAGAGCGGGTTGGGGTCAGACCACCCACAGCGCCAGTCCTTCCAAAAGGGTTCCGCACCATGGGGAGGGGGAGGGGTCATTCCAGGAGCCTTGGGGACCCCGGCAGGCTGCTCGCCCAGTGACCCAGTGTCTGTGGGGGCAGCGCTGTGCCCTTTGAGCAGCCAAATGTGTGCCCAGTTCAAGTCTGGGGCCGGTCTCCTGGGCGAGGCAGGCGGCAGGTTCTCACCCTCCCAGGCCGAGCACTAAGTGCAGGGAGAGGGGCGGGAGAGGACCTCAAGTCACTCTCACGAGGGGTCAGGGGGGCTTGGGGGGGCCTGTGCGGTGTGAGGAGGGGTTGGGGTGCCCTGGGGATGTCCCAGGAGCGGGAGGGATGGAGTCAGGGTACGAGAGGATAGGACCCCCAGATGCCAAGTGGGGACAGAGCCCAAGGCCATCCTTGAGGGGTCCCCTGACCGAAGCAGGAGCCTTGTGCCCAGGCAGCTGTGCCCCGTCCCCCGTCCTGGCCCTCTGTGGAGACCAGCCGCGTAGCCCCATGATGTTATTTAATGAGAAAATATAAGTTATTCACACGTGCTGCTAGGATGGGCCTGCGGGACACCATGTGCCACGGCTGGGGCAGGAGGAGGCCTTGGCCCGCTGCCTGCTGCACCCCGAGCACCCCTGCACCCCGTCCCGTCCGCCCACTCGTTCCCTTGGGGTGGGGGTGGGCTGGGTTGGGGCCAGTTGGGTTTCAGCTGCTGTCACCTGGGTCCCGCGGGAGCTGCTGCTGACAGTGGAACTGGGTCACACAAGGGCCCTTCCCACGGGACTCGTTCCCCTCTTGGTGGAAACAAGGGAGAAAGGGTGTCCCCCTCCCCTGTGCAACGCGCCCACGACAATTCCGCTGGCCCGTTCTCTGGCCCACGTGGAATGGCTGGCGGGTGCATGGGGCTGCCAAGTACCAGCCTTGAGCGAGGTCGCTGCCCAGCCTGAGGCTGGCTTGTCCTTGAAATGGTGGCCAGTTCTCAGGGACATACTCAGAGGGTCCTCACCACCTCTCATGCCGCCGCTGCTGCCTGCACTCCAAGTGTCTGCCCTTCCCTCTGTGTGTGTGGGGGGCAAGGCCGTGCGGGGCCCCTGCACCCCGAGTGCCCTTCCCTCTGTGTGTGGGGCAAGGCCATGCGGGGCCTCTGCACCTCCTATCCCAGTGGGCCTGGTTTGCTTCATGTTTCAGAAGATGGGGGGAGGTGCTCCTGGTCTTCAGATGCGCCCCCCCCCCCGCCGTGTCCTGGCACCACCAGAGGAAGTCGAGATGTTGGGGTCTGTGAAGGTGCCTCTGAACTCAGGGGCCTGGCAGGTGCTGTTGGCTCAGCCTCCCGGTCCCAGGACTCAGGGGCAACACCTCCAGGGGTGGGTTGTGGCCCGAGCTCAGCCTTCTGTCCCCACTTGGCCAAGTCAGAATCAGATGGGCAGGTCTGGGTCGCCCTACGAGAGGGCCCAGAGCTGGCGGAAAAGCCAGGATGGGGCATGGCATGTGCCGGGCTGGCAGGCCGGTGGCTCCCTATTGTTTGTGGCTCCCAGCAGTGCAGGCAGCTGTGGCCTCCGAGCCGGACTTGGTGCTGGGCCGCAGTCCTGCAGCCTCTCCTGGGTGGGGTGCCCAGGGCTTGGGGCGCCACAGGGGCGCGGGTCTGTCCTAAAGTATTCTTCACGTTAGTCATCTGTGCTTGAAAAGCAGCGGTATCCTTAGCGAGAGGAGGGGCGGGCCGGGGTGACAGCCCCAGCTCTCTCCGCCGGCCTGTGCTTTCATTTCAAATGGGATACAGTATTTTTTTAATAAGGAGCCATACTTTTTTTTTAATTTTGAGATCTGAATGTGATTTCTAATTGTATCAGACGTTAATGTTTTAAAGCTATAACAAAGTTTAAAATTTCTACCTTTTGTTTTTCATTTAACTGTTCTTTTTATCTATTAAATTGTTGTATGTGGATGGGGAAGCTGTTTCTCCGCTTAGCATTTGTTTCTATAACCAGAAATAAAATTATATATTAAAGAAGCCACACCAGGGCTGTGCATCCTTGGGGCTAGGCAGTCCAGGAAACAAGGTGACTAGAATCCCACAAGCTCCAGGCCCCATCAGCAGCTGCCTGGGCAAGGCAAAGCCGAGAAACTTCCGAGTGGCTCACTGTGTGGCGGGAACTCAGTACTGCTCATTTGCCCTCACACCGTCCCCATGAAAGCAGTGACTGAGCTTTCAGACAATAGCAAGTGAGAGGCATTTCCTCTGGCTGGTGACTGTCCTTGTGAAGTCTGTTTTGCTCTTTTGGCTTGGGCCAGGGGTCGGCCATGTGTACGGCAAGTGTCCTTACCCTGTACTTCCTCTGCACCCCAAGTTTTGGTTTTAAGACAACCGTGTCTTCCTACCGAGACCTTAGACTCTGTTTCTGCACACACCAGTTCTGTAAGTGCCGTGAATGTGGGGGTGGCCGGGGCGATGCATCCCTGTCCTGCAGGGTCCAGCCCACAGGTGGCACAGGAGGCTAGGGCACGTCCTGGGCAGTGTCACACCTATCCACTAGCACCAGCACCTGGAAGCAGATAGCAGTTGGCCGCAGGGTACTTTCCCCGGCCCATTTTCCACAGTTCCACAGGTGTGGTGTTTCTTGCGCTGTGGCTGATTTGTGTGGCCACCGTCAGCCTCATGGGGAAGAAGAGGACAAAGGTAACAGTCATTGCTCTCCCTCCCACCCCTTTTCTAAAAAATTTGGACCACACCCATCAGTGCTCCAGAGCTGCGCCAGGTTCCATGCTTAGGGGTCACTCCTGGCAGCCCTCAGAGTCCCTGCTGTGCAGAGGGTCGGACCTGGCCTCCTTCCTGCCCTGCTGCTGAATTCAGGTCCCAACCCTCCTGGCTGGTCACTAAGATCCAGAAAGTGTGCCAGGGTCCCTCCACCCATCCTGTGGTGCAGGGCCTTGAGTACCTTCAGCCCTGAGGTCAATGTGTATATCCATGTGGGCGCACATGCTGCTGGAGGCCGAGCACATGTGATACCCTCATCTCCCCTCTTGAGATGTGGACTTTCATGCTTTCCTGTCTAATACTGGGATGTGTGTAGGGGCTCTCTCTGCACTCTCTCTTGAGTGCGTTATTCTCTGCACTCTCTCCCTCCTTCCCTTCAAAATCTCCAAATAAAAACTGTAACTTGGGGGGCTGGAGCGATAGCACAGCGGTTCGGGCGTTTGCCTTGCACGCGGCCAACCCGGGTTCGATCCCCAGAATCCCATATGGTCCCCTGAGCACTGCCAGGGGTGATTCCTGAGCCAGGAGTGACCCCTGAGCATTGGGGGGTGTGACCCAAAAAGGAAAAAAAAAAAACTCTAATTTTGGGACTGTAGCAATAGCACAGCGGGTAGGGCATTTGTCTTGCACGCGGCCGACCCGGGTTCGATTCCCAGCATTTCATATGGTCCCCTGAGCACCGCCAGGAGTGATTCCTGCCAGGCGGTGACCCCCTCCCCCCCCAAAAAAAAAAACCTGTAATTTCACTGCTCGTCTACTCCTGAAATTCCTTTCTGCGAGGAGAGGCGTGACAAGACCCCAGCTGGCCTGGGTCCCGAGTGGCAGAGACGGGTGGGGAGGAAGTGACCGTCTCTTTCCTCCCCGCTCACAGGAGCCTCCCGTGGGGCCACCGACATGGCGGTGAGGGGCGGCCTCTCGGGGGACTCTGGACCTGCTCTTCCCTCCCGGCGTGGCGGTGCTGGGCGCTCAGCCTGGCGCCGCGAGGGGGCAGCCTCGGACCGACCCTGCCCGCGGCACTAGCGTTCGCCCCCGCCTGGGGACCTAATGCCGCTTCCCGCCGCGGGAGCCGTCGGGACGCGCTCGCCTCCCTAGGGGACTCGACTCCGGGGAGTGTGGCAGGGGCGCGAGGGGACCGGCCCGCCTGCGGCTGCGTCTCCGGGTGTGCGCCGGGGAGTCTGCACGCGGCTGTGAAGAGCCACCGGACACAGCGCACGCGCCGGCAGAGCTACCGGAAGTCCGTCCCAGAAAGGCGCCGGCCTCACCCGGGCCGCCGGAAGTCCGTCCCCGAAGGGTGTCCGCTCCCATGCGGGGCCGCGGCTCCGGCTACCGGAAGTCCGTTCCCGAAGGGCGTCCTCCTCCCCACGCGGCCGCGGCACCGAGGTTCCGGCTGCCCGGCCCCGCCCGGAGCACTGAAGGCCGCGCCCCGCGGAGAGGCCCCGCCCATACCCATTGGTTCCGGCCGGTCGTCCGTCACGTGCCGGTCATGTGACGACGCCGCGGAAGGCGGCGGCGGCATGTTCTCGGCGGGAGCGGAGAATCTGCTCCAGCAGGCCAGGTCCCGCTCCCGGGGCGCCCGGCGGGGTTCGGGCCGAGGGGCGGGGCTGTCCGGCTGGGGCGTTGGTAAAGACGCGCGAGGTGCAGGCGCCGGGTGGTGCAAATGCAGGGGCCGGCGCGGGGACGGGGGCGTGGCGCGCCGGCGCTGGGGGTAGAGCTTGTGCGGTTTGCACAGTCGGCCGCATTTCCTTTCCTCCCACCCCAGGTGCCAGGGAACGGGGCAGGGCAGGGTTACTCCCGAACCGGTGCTCTGCCCAGGGAGCACAGGGCCCCGAGGCTCCGGGGGTGTCGAGCCGAGGTTTGGGGAAGGCAGAGATCTTCTGATCTGGGAAGGCCTTGCTCGGTGACCAGCCAGCCTGGAGAGAAAGGCACAGCCTGTAGTAGCTACAGACTAGGCATCCCCGGGAAACTGGGGTGGGAGGACACAAAAGCGCCTGTCAAGCCCTGGGTTCGTAAATCTGGGAGACTGTGCTGCAGGTACCTAGGCCAAGCCCGGGGTCGAGTCACCCGTCAAAGTTGCTAGGAAGGTGCTCGGTGCCCAGTCCGGGTGCTGACCTGGGAGGAAGTGGCTCTGAATGGTTGCCGCCAGCCGAGAGCACAAACTTGGCATGAGGGCGCAAGCACAGAGCCAGGAGTAGCCCCCCCGGCGCCACCATTTGGGACCCCAAAATCAGAAATAAATGCTTGCTTACAAGGCTTGCCCTGACACACTCCAGACTTCTTGCCCAGAGGCACCCAGGACTGCTGCGTTCGCTTCCCCCAGGCACCTTCCACTCAGAGTTTGAGCCTGTTTCTCTGGCCCTGGTGGATGTGCGAGTTGAGGAAGCACAAGAGTAAATGGGGACAGACGGGCTAGAGCAATAACACAGCAGGTAGGGCGTTTGCCTTGCATGCGGCTGACCTGGGTTCGATTCCCAGCATTCCATGTGGTACCCCTAGCACCGCCAGGAGTAATTCCTGAGTGCATGAGCCAGGAGTAACCCCTGTGCAACGCCAGGTGTGACCCAAAAAGGGAAAAAAATAATACGGGGCCAGAGCGATAGTAGGGCAGCTAGGATGCTTACCTTGCATGCCCCAACCCCGGGTTTGATCCCAGCACCATATATGATCCCCCAGTCCCTGCTAGAAGTGACCTCTGAGCACAGCCAGGAGTAAGCTCTGAGCGCCACCAGGTTTGCCCCCAAAACAAAAATGCCCATGAGTAGGACCTGAGTTAGAGGCCGACAGTTAACGTGGTGCTAGTTAAGGTGGCGTTTCTACCTGCCTCTTGCCTGCGCTTAGCCTGACCCTCAGGCTGGACCAGCCTCTCAGAGTGCACTCACGCTGTTCGGCAGGCCGGGAGTGAATTTGGGGAACCAAAGATGGGAAAAGTTGTTGGGAACTGAGAATAAAGGAAGAAGCTGGGTGTGAATATGAGGCACACGGATGGGGGTTGGGCAGCAGCAAGATGAGAGCCTTCCAGAAGGATGAATACTGTGGAAGCTCCTGGTATAAGGAGGGCCACCCCACCCCCGCAAAGGAGGAAGTGGAGGGGAGTGTGTGGGTACAGGCATTCGCCCGGAGCCCTAGAAGCATGGGCTTGGAGAAGGCCCAGACTGGGGCAGGTTGGTTGGAATGAGGCCTGTCATCCTCGGAGCCCCCACTGTATCTTCAGTGCCCTCCTTCCTCCACCCCTTGCCACCAGCAGGCTGCGCGGCACCCCAGTTAAAACAGGCCTCCGTAGCTCCCAGCTGGCCAGAGGTGACGAAAGAATAAGAATGGGATTGGGGGAGTTAGGGGAGGAATTGGGGATAGAGCATTTCCAATGGGATTTGCCTGCCAGCCTGTAAAGCTTCAGTGGAAATTCCCAGGCCAGATGGGTCCTGGGTGCCCTAGTGGCTTGCCTGGCTGCTCAAGGCAAGGCGCGAGTGGGCACGACCGAGTGGGCCCCTCTGGCCCGCTTCTCTGTTTCTGCCCCTGCAGACTTGAGACGTCGCGCCCAGGTCTGCTCAGCTGCGGTTCCCCCTGACACCTTCTGGCATTAGTCCCCGAGGGGATGCTTTGAGTCTTGTGTCCCTGAGTTCAAGGCTGATGGATGGGATCTTTGGGAAGTGGCTAAACTGAAAAGGAGTCTCCTGAGTTTTGAGACCCCTAAAGCCAACCACCTTTCTCTGCTACCCCTGGAGCCATAAGTCTGATTGCGGGGTGGAGGTCTCCTGGCTGGTGTGTAGGGACAGGCAGTGTGTCGCAAGAGCCTTGGGATGGGGCCTCTCCTCCTGCACCCCCGTTCTCCCCAGAGGCTGCCTGTGGCCCTGGGGCAGCTTGTGAGGTGCCCTGTGTGTGTCCAGGGGGATCCAGGCTGAGGAACTGGGCCGGTTCTGTGGCCGGATCACGAAGCAGCTGCAGAATGAGGACTGGGGCCCGGACACCCTCGACAGCCTGCAGAGGCTCTTCCTCATCGTCTCGGCCACCAAATACTCCAGGAAGTGAGTGTGTTTGGGGAGGGGGGTGCAGGGCTCAGTGACCACCTGTGCTCGCTGCCCAGCTGAAGCTGCAGCAGGGGCCTGGTGGGGGCAAGACCTGACCCCGCTGCCCCACAGGCTGCAGGAGCCTGTCCCGGACCTGCTGCAGGTGGCCCTCTGCTCACCCGCCTGCCCTGAGCACTTGCAGCTGCTCTGTGCCGCCATCCTGCGGGAGATGGCACCCATGGACAGCTTGGGCCAGCGCCTGTGTGGGGACCACGCACGCAGCGGGCGGTGGTTGAGCCTCGCAGCCTCCGTGCTCCTTGCCCAGGTAAGAGGTCCGCCCCGCCCCACCTGGCAGCCTGGCCCGTGGGTCCCTTTCCTGGTGGCCTCTGATGCTTCTAGAGCAGCAGTGGCACCCACCTCCCCTGCACGCTCCTGGGTCCCTGAGGAAGAGGCCGGGCCGGGCTGGTGGCCCCATGCTGGGTGGGGACCCCTGAGCCACTGTCCAGGGCCGGCCATGTGCCAGACCTCCCCCCTGGTGTGGTGGTCCTCGCTGAGACCCGGGCCTGGCCCCCGTGCTGTCCCCAGGGAGATAGGAGGAACGAGGTCCGCACTGTGAGCCAGCGCGCCTGTGAGTGCCTGGGGAGTCGGCACCCAGAGGGGCCCGGGCCTGGCCACCTGCTCCCGCTCCTGGCCAAGGTCACCAGCCTGGCCCCAGGCAGCCTTCACGAAGGTACTCATGGGGCAGAGGGATGGGGGGCGGTTTGTGGATGGCCCCACCCCTGCCACAGCAGCTCCAGCCTGTCGACACCACCCCCCCCCCCCCCCAGACCAGACTAACCTGCTCCACAAGCGTCTGGGAGACTGGCTCCGCTATGCCAGCATGCAGCAGGCCGTGCCCCCTTCCTCAGGGGGCTTCTTCACGCCCAGGACCCGCCAGGTACAACGGGGATCCCCTGCGGGCCCCAGTCCCTCTGCAAGCTTCCCTGGCACTGGAGGCTTCAGGCCACATGGGGTCCGGCGGTGGTGTCAGTCTGGGGTTCTGGGGAGCCGTGGGCAGGGAGCCCTGGGGTCCCTGGGCCTCTGCCAGGCTGACCCCAACATCCGGCCCCACAGCCAGGGTCTCTGGCCGAGGTGGATGGAGCACTGGCCACGGACTTCTTCACGGTGCTGTGCTCAGGCCGGAGCTTCCCCGAGGAACAGCGGCTGAGCGTGCAGGCCTTCTCCGTGCTGCGTGCCTGGCTGCGGAACAGCAGCTGTGGGGACCCCAGCACCCCCGACACAGGTGCCCCCTGCCCGCCCTCCGACTGGGGACTTGCAGGGGAGGGGGGCTCCGGGCGGGGGTCTGGGCACAGGAGGGGAGGTCTGTGGTGGAGGTCCAAGTGAGCAGGCTTCGAGCAGGGCCCACAAGTGGGGTCTGGGCAGGGGTCGTAGGTGGGGGTCCGGTGTCCCTGAGTACCACCCCCTGCAGATGACAGGTCAGATCTGGAAGGTTCCACGCTGTCAGTGCTCTCAGCTGCCCCCACCACCAGCGGCCTGCTGCCCCCCCGGGAGCGGCTCCGGGAAAAGACCTTTGAGTACTGCCAGCGCCTCGTGGAGCAGAGCGGCCGACGTGAGTGGAAGGGAACACCCAAGTGACCCCCAGCTGGCCAGGCTTTCCACCGTCCCCCCTCCTGGGCCACATGCCCCGTCCACCCTCAGTTGCCAGACACAGAGTCAAGGACCCTCCTCTCTCCCCAGGGGCACTGCGCAAGGCCGACTCGGAGCTGCAGAAAGCGGTGAGTGGTGGGCAGGTGGGGTGGGGGCGGGCGGGGTGGGGGCAGGTCTGAGCTGGCACCCCTGCCCCCCGCAGTGCCTGGTGGAGGCTGTGTTGCTGCTGGACCAGCTGTGCCGGGCAGACCCCTCCTTCCTGTACCGCAGCCTGGCCTGCCTCAGGGCCCTGCAGGGCCGGCTGTGCGGGGACCCGGCGTGCGTGCGAGCGCTCCTGCCCGTGGCCCAGTTCTACCTCAACCACGGTGGGTCCCCAGGTGCCCCTGGGGACACCGTGTGGCCAGGGACATTGGGGGGGGGGGGTTGCATGGCGCCCGGGTCCTGACAGCGTCCTTGCAGGGGAGGCCGCGGCCGTGGGTGCAGAGGCTGTGTGGCAGACGCTGCTGACCCGGGTCCCGGCTGAGTACTTCCACAGCCCGGTGCTAGCCTTCGAGCTCGTCCGCTTCTGCAGGGACAGCGCCCAGCTGCGCGGGGACTGCCTGGAGCGCGTGCGCCGCCACTTCCCCAACCTCCTCAAGGCACGTGGGCGCCTGCACGGTGGGGAGGGCTCTGCCTGTGGATAAGGGGGTGGGGTGGACTCGGGCTCCATGGCGCCCCCTGCTGGAGCTGGCTGCCCTGCTCTGTAGTTCCTGGCCTGGAACAGCCCGCCCCTCGTGGCTGAGTTTGTGGAACTGCTCCCGTGGCTGGTGGATGTGGACAATGCCCTGGAGATGTTCCACACGCTGCTGGACCTGCCGTGTCTCACCGCAGCCCTGGACTTGCAGCTCCGGTGAGGCCGGCCCCACCACCGGATGCTGAGGAACAGGGTGGTGGCTACCGTGGGTGTCAAGGCCATGCCTGGGGTCTCTTTTCCACAGGACACTGCCCCCCACCTCTGAGCGGCCACTCTGGGACGCCTCCCTCAGGGTCCCCCTCTGTCTGGACACCTTCCGGGACCCACAGTTCCAACGCCTCTTCCAGTACCTGCTGCGGCCCACGGCTGGTGGCACCCCAGAGAGGTGAGCTGGCAGACTTCTTAGGTCTGCGAGGCCTTCTGGGCCTGGTGCCTCTGGGCAGCCGCGGTTACCCACTTGGCTCACAGGAGTAAACTGAGGCACAGCCCCTGTGACCTGTACTGCCTGCCCCCCCCCCAACCCTCACCCCTGGGGTATGGCCTGTGGGTTCCCACGGTCCCTGCACCCAGATAGGTCATGGGAGCCACATGGGCCCTCAGGTCTGCCCCCCTGTACCCGCTGCTGCAGCCCATGGCTGCCGGGGCCCGCGTGCTACAGTGCGCAGAGGCTGCGCCCACGCTGCTCGGGGTCTTCTTCTCAGCTGTGAACAAGGTGAGCCCCCCACGCCTGACCTCAGAGCGGCTGCTGCTCCCCGAATCTGGGCCCCAGGGCTTTCCCGTCTTGATGTCGGAGTGGGCCTGGGTCCCTTGCTCTGCCCCAGATCGTTGATGAGACCCTGAGCCGTCGCCTGGCATTGGCTCTGCTGGAGAGAAGCGACTCGCTCTTCCCGGCCGCCCAGTACAGGGCGCACGTGCACAGGTAGCCCCCACCCGTCCACCCATGCCTGCCACACCCCCCCTCCCCTGCTCCTGGGATCTGCCCTGAGGAGGGCTGGGCGTGGGGTGGGTGCCAATAGGCTTCGTCTGCTCGCAGGGTGCTGGGCCCTCAGCTGCTGGCGCTGTTCCAGCTGCGGCCCGAGCTGGTGCTCGAGCTGGCCAAGGAGCTGCTGGAATTCGTGGGCAGTGGCGTGGGCAGCCGCGGGGACCTGCTCACCTGCGTGGTAAGGCTCCTGGGACCCCGGTGGGGGAGGCCCAGGCACACCCTGGGGGCACGTGGCTGAGGCATCCCCTTCCCCCTAGGTGTGGGCGGTCGGCGAGTATGTGTCAGTGCCCTGGAACCGCCACTGCACCGTGGAGCACGTGAACCAGTTCTTCGAGGCGCTCGAGGCACTGCTGTTCGAGCTCACCCAGTCTCGGCCCTCAGCTGCAACGCCCCTATGCCCGCCTCAGGCCGTCACCGCGCTCATGACAGCACTCACCAAGCTGGCCTCGAGGAGCCAAGACCTCATTCCCAGGTACCGCCCCGCCCATCCACCGCAGGGGGCTGCCCACAGGGTGTGCATGCTTGCGCTCAGGCTTGCCTGGTCCCCAGGGCCTCACTCCTGCTGTCCAAGACGAGGGCGCTGGCCCCTGGCGTGGGCCCCGGGGAGCAGGCCATGGCGGCCATCGGCACTCGGGCCACGGAGCTGCTGAACCTACTCAAGATGCCCAGCGTGGCCCAGTTCGTGCTCACCCCCAGCGTGGACATGACCACAGCCCGCTACCACCGCGACACCAACACGGCGCTGCCGCTGGCCCTGGGCACCGTCCGTCAGCTGCTGGACAGAGAGGGGGGCATGGTGCCGGCAGGCACCGATGGGGACCGTGGGGAGGGTCCACAGGGGTGAGCAGACGTGCACCAGTGCCCTGCATGGGGGAACAGAGGCTGGAAGGCGAGTCCTCCCGTCCTGAGGGAGCAAGGGAGGCTATGTGTGCTCAGGGACCATGCGGAGGCCAAGTGGTATGTGCAATGCAGGTGCCCTCCCGCTGGCCTCTCTCCAGACTTCGAAATAAAAGTTAAAAAACGTTTGAGCCAGGCCAGGTGGGTCTGTCCTCACGCCCAGTGCCTAAGGTCACACTTGTGGCTGTGTTCAGGGCGCCCAGGGGGCATCAGCAGCTGCTCTCTGCATGAGGCAGGGGCACCTTCCCTGGGCTAGATTTGGCTCACTAGTTGGGAGACCTCAGCAGGGCAGATGGCCAACACCCCCTGCCAGGCCCATGCAGGTTGACAGTCCCGTCCATGTTTGGATTTGGTGGCAGCTTGGCTGCACCTGGAGTGACAGGCCACCAGGTGGCGCTGCTGCCCCGCACCCCGGCCAGCCCCATGCTGGGGAACATGCCCCAGGCCCTGGGCCACAGTTTCCCTTGGAGGCTCTGATCTTTGGAACTGTGAGCATCCTGCAGGCACTACACCTGGAGGGTCTCTTCCTGGCCGGGATGACCCGACCCAAGCTCCGGCCAACAGGAGGCTGCAGTGTCTGAGGGGCTGGCTGGGCCTTCCGGGGCCCTCCAGACCCCCAGTGGGGGTCTGGCTGGAGCGCTGGGTGCCGGCTCTGGCCCATACACCACCACTCGTGTGAAAAGAGTTTATTGAGCGCCTCCCCATTCAGTGCATGGAGGCTTGTTGCAGACGCTGGATGCCGTGGTGCGGGGTTAGGGGGGCGGCGTACGGAAGCGGATCCGCCGGGCCGTCTCCGTGTCGGACTTGGCCACCAGGAACCGCATCTTCTTCTCCCCGTGTCGGATCAGATCCACCGCTCTGGGGGTGCAGGGTTTTAACTCAGCCCAGCGCAGGGGGCTGTTCCCCTAGGTAATGAGGGTTGGGATGGGCTCTTGCCAGGGTCCTGGGGGGAGGGTTGGGGGACTGCTGGACACTGGGAGTCAGGGCCAGGGATTGAGTGGGCCTGGGGGTGGTGGGGCGCATGCAGCCAGGGTACCTCAGGTAGCTGACACCTATCAGGCTGCTGCCGTTCACCTCCAGGATCCGGTCCCCCAGTGAGAGGCGGCCATCAGCCGCCGCGGGACTGCCGGGCAGCAGCGTCTGGATGTAGAGTCCGGGGGCACCCAGGGGCGTGTGCTGGGGAGCAGCAGTCCCTCAGTGCACAGGCGGGCACCCGGAGTCCCAGCCTGCCCCCCTCACGCCTGCCCCACACTCACCAGCCCATCAATGAGCCCCATGCCCAGCCCACAGGGGCCGCGCTCCAACTCCACCAGAAACACAGGGCCACAGCCAAGGGCTCCAGGGGGCGCCAGAGGCTCATCCTCCGAGGTACAGTCTCCTGTGGGGTTAGGACAGCACCCAGCATGCCCAGGGAGCCGGTCCCTTCCCGCAGGCATGACCCTCCGACCCCCATCTCCTTCCCACTGCACTGTGTCCTCCTGAGCTCCTGCTCCAGGGGCTTAGGGGCAGGTCCTGAGGGCCAGCACAGCAGGGGGGTGCCGGAAGGGGTCCTCACCCTGGGGACCGTCCCTCCAGCTGTTCAGCAGGGCCTTCCCGCAGGGGCCGCTGGGCTCTGGCCAGTTGGGGACCTGCGGCTCCGGACCGAGTGGGGTGCTGGGAGGCGTGAGCAGACCCGAGTCTGTGGTAGAGGCACTGGCTGGGGGGCCCCCACGGCCACTGCGGCCAGGCTGCCGTCCAGGAGGTACTGAGGGAGCCCCGGTGGGAGGAGGGGGCCCCTCAGGGCTAGGGTGTGATGAACCCTGGGACAGGAAGGGACAGGATTCAGGCCAGCAGTTGAGGGGCCACAGGGCTGCCCAGAGCCCCTCCCCCACAGCCGGGCACCTCAGGGCACTCAGGGCCATGTGGGCTGCGCAGGCCCCGCAGGAAATGACGCAGGTAGAGCAGGTGTCGGTACAGGCGCTCATCTGGACAGGCGGCGTCCAGGTCGACCTGAAAGCCCGCGCTGGGCAGGACGATGGGTGGAGGGTGCTCGTAGGACTCCAGGACGTCCTCTGTGGAGGTATGGTGCCCTTCAGGAGGAGGCTGTCCCCCAGGCAAGCCCGCCCACCCTCCTCTCATCCCTCTGACTCAGAGAGGGGCCAGATACAGCCCCAGGGCGGGGGAACATGGTCTGTGCCTGGAACACCTTGGCCCAACTCGATCCCCAGATTCTGAACCAAGAGCTGCTCCCTCCTGCCCTCACCCTGCTGGGCTCCTGGGCTCACCCCATCTCGCAGAGCTCTCCCTTCATGAAGGGGGCTGGGGATAACCGCGTTCGCACGCCCCCACCTCTTCCTCTGGTGGCTAGGACATGCATAGCGCCCACTGGACACTGGCCCCGGAGGACTCGCCTGACTGCACGGCGTCGGCGCTGTCGGGGGCGCCCGGCTCCCAAGCGCTCATGGGGCCCATGGCCGAGGCCAGCTGGTACTGTGTCAGCAGGCGGTGCAGCTGCGGGGGGCTCAGGGCCGGGAAAGTGGCCCGCAGGTCTGCCCAGCTCATCTGTGGGGGGAGAGAGAGCAGGTGACAGTTTCCAGTGCAGGCGGCCCCCGCCCACCCCAAGCTCCGCCCACCCAAAGTCCCCGCCCACACGGTACCCCAGGCTCCGCCCACATCGGTATCTCCACCCACTAGCACCTGGATTAGCTGGGCGCTGGGCGTCGCCAGCAGGTCGAGCGTGCAGCAAAGCTTCCGGAAGAAGCTCTCGGCTGCCTCCCCACATCCTGCACCCTGAGTCCACTCCAGCAGCTGTTGCAGGCGGGCACAGGCCTGGACGCTGCGTGGCCAGTGGAAGCAGCTCAGAGAGGGGCCTGAGGTGAGGGGAGCAGAGGCAGCGACTGAGGGATCTGGGGACACCCTTGCACTCCGGAGCGGTGGCGCCCCAGAGCCTGCCAGCCTCGCCTCTGGGCCATCAGCAGTTTCTCAGCAAGTTGCCTTTTTGGAGGTGGGGTAACAGAGGGGTGACAGGGGAATAGGGGTGCCTGTGACAACTGACACCCATCACAAACACAACGCGTTCCGGGCCAAGCCCAACCCCTGGCCCCCCACCTGACCCCTGCACCACACCCCAGCAGCACCCTGGGCCCTGGGCACCCTCTGCCCACCCGAGGCCGCCGCCTCTGTGCGCAGTCCCCTGCTCACCCTTGTCCAGCAGCTGGTTGAGCAGCAGCGTGCCCGAGAAGAACAGCAGGTAGGCCAGCAGCTGTGTGGCCATCTCGGGGTGCACCCGCAGCTGGCCCAGCAGTTCCAGGGTGGCCTGGTAGATGGCCACGACGCGGCGCAGCTCCTCCGGCAGCTGCGGGCCCGAGCCGCGGCTCTCCCGGGACTCCGTCTGGAAGGGGGGGCCCTCCAGCAGGCCTGGCAGGCAGCTGTACAGGGACTGGGGGGGCAGAAGACAGGGTGGGCAGCACCCCGGGAGTTGAGGTGACATGGGGCAGCCGGACACCAGCAGCTGCCCCAGAAACTTTTAAGGCTTGCCTCCATGGAGAGACAGGATTCTCAAGGCCATACGCTGGGTGGTGGGGGCCTTCCTTTCCACTCAATCCCCCCCCACTCTGAGTCCCCTTATTGGGTTTTTTTTTTTCTTTTTGGGTCACACCCAGCAATGCACAGGGGTTACTCCTGGTTCATGCGCTCAGGAATAACTCCTGGCCGTGCTCGGGGGACCATATGGGATGCTGGGAATTGAAACCAGGTCGGGCCGCGTGCAAGGCAAACGCCCTACCCGATGTGCTATCACTCCAGACCCTCTGAGTCCCCTTCTTATGCTCACTGTCCCCCCCAAAACCCTCCTTGGGCCACGAGTTCAAACCCATCTCACTGGTTCCCTCTCCCCTCAGGGCCCCCCAGATCCTGGTGTCCTCCCTCAGGGCCCCACTGAAGGGCTGTTGCCTACAGAGGTACCTGCCCCCAACCCGTACTTACAGAGGCCTGTTCTCTGCCACTGCCCGGCCAGGCTGGGGGAAGGTGAGGGGGCTCATGGTACCTGCCAGCTCCGGCTGAGTGGGGTCCACAGCCAGGGACCCTCTCCAGAAGAGGGACCATATGTGGGGTTGAGCCTGACCGGAGCAGGACGCCCTCTCCTGGGGCACCACCCAGCACCCGCCTGTAGGCCAGCGCCCGGCAGACCCTCCAGGCAGTGCGAAGCCCACCTTGGAGATGTAGTACACGCACTGCTGGAAGATGTACAGCACGGCCTCCTCCAACACGGCCATGGCCTCCTCGCTGGCCGTCAGCGCGCAGGAGAACAGCGACTCCTTGGAGCCTGCAGACGGCGGCCAGTGACCAGATGGGCGCCACCCACCCCAGCCCATCTGGGATGGGGGAGCGCTGCCCACCCGAGAGCCCCAGGAGACCCTATTTGGGACTCGGGGGTCTTGCTTCTGCACTGCGGGGCTCAGCCCCGGCTCCCATGAGGGTTCCACTGCACCCAGGTGTGTGCTCCCACCCCGAACCCGCAGCCTCGGCACCTGTGACATCCAGCTCCTCCTCCAGGCTCTGCATGTAGCACGGACACTGCTGTTGAGCAAAATAAAGCAACTCCACGGCGTTGGCCATCCAGAAGAGGAGGTGCTGCAGGTCGGGGGCAAGGCCGGCCATGGACACGCTGGTCGGGGACATAGGCTCCGGGCTGCACGACGGAGACATGGCATGACCTGGGCCCCTGGGGACCACTGTGGGCACCGAGGCGACTCAGACACCAGAGGGTGGGGCTGAGTGCGGCCGGGGGCACGTCCAACCCAGGAGTGGACCTTCTCTGCCTGTGCTCAGGTGAGCGGACAGCAGGGTCCGAACCCCCACTTGGCTGCTGCGGGCACTGGGCCCCATTTCCAGAGGGGTGGGCTGCCCACTTGCCCCCACCGCCCCCTTGCCAGACACCCAGCCTGGCCTCTGCGGCCCCACTGTCCCCCCAAATCCCTCCTTGGGCCATCAGAACGGAGAACCAAGTTCTGATGGCTAGGGGAAGGCTGCTCTCAGCCCCAGGCTGCCCAGGGTCCCCCCGGATGTCAGCGGGTAGGGCGGGACACTCACAGGTGCGCCTGCTTCTCCGCCAGCTCTTTGGCCTTCTCCTGAGAGGAGACGAAAGCAATGAGGGCCGCCCCCGGAGACCGCGACCAGGTCTCCACGCACTGGGTCCTCCTGTCACTGCCCTGTGCAGCGTGGGAGAGGAGCCAGGAGGGACCTGGGCAAGCAGACAGCCAGGAGAGAGCAAGGGCCGCGGGCCAGAAATGCAAAGGGCTGTGCCCAGGGCCACCAAACTCGGGCTGCCCCTTGGGGCGGTACCCTACCCAGCGAGCTGGGTTTCTGCCCCTGGACCGGGAGGGGGCTCGCCCCTCGGTGTCCAGCGCGCAGCACCGGCAAGGAAGGCGCCCCAAACGCCCAGCGGCATTGCTGCCCGGGGAGCCCTCCCAGGCACGCACCCCTGGGCCCGACCTGGACTGACCCAGACCGTGTCCTGGATGGCACGAGCCATCTTGAGTAGGAGCGGCCCAAAGGCGCCGGGCGGCAGGCGGGTGGCCGCGTGGCGCACACACAGGCACAGCAGGAAGGCGGGCGTCAGCGGGTGCTCGTCGCTGCCGGGCTCCACCAGGGTTAGGATGCGCTGCAGCAGCGCATCCTCCGCATCCTCGTCGAACTCCAGCTGCAGCGGGCGCGGGCGCGGGGGTCCGGTGGGGGCCCGCAGCGCCGCACCGCACAGGCGGCAGCCGAGGGGTGCGGGAGCCGTGGCAGCACGCAGGCGGGCCAGGGCCTGGGCAGGCAGTGGCTGCGCCTGGGCAGGGTCCTTGAACAGCAGCAGGTAGTACAGGCCCAACGCCAGCAGGTCCCCGTGGCGCAGAGGCACAGCGTGGTCCCCCACCTCGGTGAAGTTGACGGACACCGGCGCCCCGGGGATGGGCTCGAGGACCAGGCACGGCCCGGACTCCCCAGCGGCTGGCGCGCGGCGACGCAGCGTGCAGTGCAGCGGCAGGATGTCAGGCGCCGACAGGCTGATGCTCGGCTTGCTGGACGGCGTCCGCTGGCCCACGGTGTGGCGCTCCCGGCCCAGCACATACACCAGGCTGTCCTGCAGGGAAGACGGCGGCTGCGGAGGCGCCCGGAGCAGCACAAGCCCAGGCACGAGGGCAAAGGCCTGGGCTGGCACTGACAGCTCAGCTATCTCAGCACCCTCCCAGGTCAGGGCAGCTGGGGGTAGGGGGTGGGCGTGGGGAAGGGGCAGCTGCCGGAAGCACAGGACCAGGAACATGCACTGTCAGGCACTTCAGAGCAGGGCGATAGAAATGGTGTCTGGCAGCTTGGCTGGGGGGTGGGGTGCTGGTACCCAGGTCTGATCTTCCTCCCCCCCACACGGGCCCCGTGCTCACGTGCTGGGGGCTGTAGCCCTGCAGAAGCAACAGGTGTGGACACTCGTCCAGGCAGCCACGCAGGGCGGTCCGGCCCGGTTCGTTGGGGTCATGGGCAGTGTCCGATGGGACAGGGGCCGGACTCAGGCTGGTCTCGCTGACGGTACGGCGCAGCCGGGGCAGCGGGGGGCTCTGGGTGCCCCTTGAGGCCAGGGCTGGGGTTCCCTTGGCGCGGATCCGCTGCAGTCTCCGGGCCTGGGCATTGATGCCTGACGCAAGCAGAAGGAGGGTCAAGGGCAGGGTGGCACTGCCACGGGGTCCAGAGCTCCACCAGCACTTGGCATCCTGGGGCCATCCCCTTCGCCACTGGTACCTTGGCCTCCCATGGGGCATGCCCCACCCAGTCTCGCCCGCCACTGCCTCTTTGCCTGGTCCCAAACAGGCCCACATGGGCAAGTGCCCCATTCAGCGGGAAAGGTGGCCCTGCCCACAGCGAGCTGCTCCCTCTCCTGCAGGGGCGCAGGGCACATGCTGAACACATGTGTACATGCACACATGCACACGCAGGCACTCAGCAGGCTCAACCTCTCGGTTCTCTATCAGGAAGCTGAGAGTACCCTCCACCCCCCATCCCCCACTCCTACCCCCGCTGTGAGCGCCCAGCCCCTTCAAACTTGTCACTTCCGAGCTCCCCCACCAGGCTGCACACTGCCGTGATAAGCAGCGGTCCCAGTCCTGTCTGTTGCTTCCAAAGGAAACAAAACTGAGGAAGCCAGCAGGGGGAGGGTGGGGGTGAGGGGGTTGGGGGCGGGCGTGGCCTGCTGCTGCCCTGGGGTTGCGCACTGGCCTCTGCGCCTGCCAGTACAGGGTCCTGGAAGGGCACAGGCCAGGGGAGCAGCAGGGACAGCAGGGGGGATGCGGGGCAGACGCCAACTGCCCACTCTCTGACACCCCAGCCTGTGGCCACACCCGGAGAGAAACCTCCATCGCCTGAGAGGATGCGACCCTGAGAGAGGGGGAGTGGAGGGAAGGGCGCATGCACCCGTGGAGACCGGCCATCCCCGAAACGCAAACCCTGCTCGGACCCCAGCGGAGCCAACGGGATGGAGCAGCCAGGCGTGGTGGGTGACGCTCCTGTGGGCCATGCTGCTCTCCCGGCAGGGGTCTGCCTGAAGTGCAGGGAGGGGTACCAGTGGTCATCACCACAGAATGCCAGCACCAGGAAGGTGGGGGGGGGAAGCACGATCTTGTTTCGGGGTGCGCGTGGTGACGGCAGGACACATGTACAGTGCTAAATTCCAGGGCCGGGTCACTCTTAGCTGCCTTCTCCTGCCTGTCCACAGAGTCTAGGAGGACTCCTCTGAATTGCCCCACAGCCGTCTGAAGACAAGAGAATCCTCCATGAGCCTGACTTGCTTTCTCAGTCTGGCAGCAGATAATGCTGATGACCTCCCTACAAGGAGCTCGCTGAGGGGCTGGCCAGAGTGCTCAGGAGGTGGACATGGGCTTTACATGTGGGGGTCCCAGGTTGGGTCCCAGCATTGCCCAATACAACTCTGTGTGGTGTGTGTGTGTGTGTGTGTGTGTGTGTGTGTGTGTGTGTGTGGCTTTTAGGCCACACCGGGGCCTACTCCTGGCCCTGCACTCAGGGATCACTCTTAGTGAGTGAAGGGGGCCCATACAGAATGCCTGGGCTGGCTGCATGCAAAGCAAGTGCCCTCCCCACAAGGCAGCGTTATCTGGTGAAACTACTCAGGAATGTGTGCTGCAAAATTGTTCCTAAAGTCCCCCAATACTTCATGCTCCCCCTAGTGGTCATGGCTACTCAATGGGAGTGGTCCCTGAGGAGGACCCAGAGTGACACCATGAGGGTATGGGAAAGATGAAGGGTGGGCTCAGCATGTGCTCTGTGAGAGCGGCCCAGAGAAAGTCGGCATGTGCGCAAGGGCGCATGCAGAACCCTCAGGAGTTTCATGTGACAGCATTCCAGACGCGCCCTTGACCTCTGCCCCCTGACAATACCACACAACCTGTCCATGCAGCGTGAGTGACCAATGTTCATACATGCACAGGAGCCAGGAGACTAACCCACTGGCCATCCAGTCTTCCCCGCTGCTCTCTGGACACCAAGACTGAGGCGGGGGCAGGGGAGGGTCAGAGGGTGCAGTACTGAGGGTGCCTGAGTCACGGGCAGGAGAGGGGAAATACGAGCTAGCCTCGAACCCACGCGCTTCCAAGAGGCCACAACCCAGAGAGGACCCCAGCCCAGCCAAGAGTAACCCAGTAAGCCCGGAGGAGATGCGTCACCCCGGGCCTTCCGTTCTGCAGGGTCTGGGGGTCGTGAATATCCTGGGCTTTGCGGGACCTGCTGGGCAGCACCAGAAAACAAGAACAGAACTGAAGCCTGGGGAGGTTGGGGAGGGATGCAGAACGGGGCAGAAACCAGATCTGCACAGGCGTGTGATGGGTGCACTGAGGGGCGTGTTCTCGGGCACAGGCGCCCCCAATGTAGGCAGACCCCCCAGTCTGATGCCCAGAGCTGGCAGGGCTAGTGTAAAAACCCAGAGCGGGGGTGCAGAGGGAGGCCCAGCCAAGGCATGAGAGCCAGCCTTCAGAGCCAGCTGAGGCACTTCCGGTCACCGCAGCTGCCATGGCTGGTGTGTGGAGTGGAGACAGGGCAGATGTGGTGACGGGGTCCCAGGGGGGACCGACCTGACCTGTCTGCCCAATTCTTTGCTGCCCCAGCTGGGAAAAGGTTCTGCAGGTATCAGTGATGCTCTCAGCTCATCGGGGGTGTCTGCAGCGGCCTCTGAGAGGCAAAGGCTCAGGGGAGAGACAGCTATGAGGGAGTTGCCTCCCCCAAAACACTGCTACTTCATCCTACCCCCAAGGACCCCATTTCCAGAAGAAAGTGAGCCCCAGACAACTGGCGGGCAAGCCCCTGCTGGAAGGAGGGACATTCAGCACAGGGACAACAGGCCTGGCTGCTCTCCGGGTAGGGAGGATATGGGGGGAGGGAGGGTGTGCTGGGGCGAGGGGCCAGGATGCCAAACGTGGCTCCCTAAGTACAGGAGAGGCGCTGTGGGCAGCAAAGATGGGGGTACAGGAGCCTCTGCTGGCTGTGGAGGATGACCGGACCCCAAAACAACCCTGGCCGTGGGGCCACCCCCTTCAGAGGCTGGGAGCATGTCCCGGAGCTGAGTGACAGGTTCTGTCTGTCCGCAGGTTGCTGAGGCCAGCAGCTGCACCCCGACACTGGTCACCAGCTTTCTTGGGAACAGGCCTGATGCTTGGGACATTTCAGGGCTAGTTCTTGGCCACTAAGGAGTGAAACTGGCACCGTGCCTGCTTTGCCCACCAGCCTCAGGACACCTTTGTCTCTCATCTCCCCCACCAATGCCCAGGTCTCAGACCTGGCTGCCTTGGGTTCCTGGTCACATTCCATGCAAGACCCGCATCCCGCCACCCGACTCCACGCTCCTGAGCCTCGCTATGCCTTTACACCAGGGGCTGTTTTTCTGACGTTACTATCACTCTGTCCCCGCTGGTCTATTTCCTGCCACCAGTGCTCTGCCGAGGCAGGTGGCGCCATGTTTCCAGTCTGAATGAATCGGACACTCCGACCGCCTCCCAGCACACACTTTCCTTGCTCTGCGACTGGGATCCCCGCGCAAGTTTCTTTCTGCATAAATGTGAGAGGGGGCAAGAGGCGCTGTCCTGCCTTTGCACCACCCTGTCCCCTGCCCTCCTAACAGCATCACAGGTGCGAGTCAGTCCTGTCTTCCGACTCATGTCTGGGGAGTGCCAACCAAGGGTCTTGGCTCCGTGGCGGGGGAGTCTCTCTGCCCTTCTCCCCGCTCCTGCCTCCAACAGAGACGGACAGACTCCTCCTGCGGTGCCCCCATGCAGTTGGGATTCTGAAGGCCATGCTGTGGGGGCCTTCAGCTCTTCTTTCCCTCCATCTCCCCATAACCATAAGGGCTGGTACGGAATGGCAAACCTCTCAACACACGCACTTAACCTTGGAAAGCATCTGCCCCGGGGTCCTCACCGACCCTCATCCTGGCCTCTCTGGATGTCACCACCTAAGCAGCAGTCAGGGTTAGGGGTTCAGCAGCCCCTCATTCAGCATGATGGCCCATGTTTCTAGGAGCTAACTTTGTTAAAATTGGGGGTGGGAGGGATATGTGCTGCAGCCATACCCAGCAATGCTCAGGGGACCATGTTGCCAGGGATGGAATCAGGATCAAACACATGCCATGCCAGAGTCCGCATCCCGTTAGCTCCCTCCCCACCCACCCCACCGCCCTGCCCCCTACACTTCTGTGTAAACATCACAGTGGGCAGTCGTGCCAACTGTGCCATCCCTGTCACCCAAGGGCACAAGGCACTGTCTTGTTTACTGCTGCATTCCATTGACAGTGCAGTGACTCGCTATGCAGCAATGGTCACGCCCCAACCTAAGTCCTGCTTCCCCAGAAAGTGGCCATGGGAAGGCACTGCCCTGGGAGGGGAGAGGATTCAGGCTGTGGGAACAGCCCCCCAGTGGGCAAGGCGCCCCAGGGGCCCGCTCCCCTCCCTGGCGGATCCCCTGCACAGATGACATGCTCATCAGCTGCTGTGAGCTCTCCACCGGAAAGGTGAGTGCATTTCTTCTGCCCATTTCCTGGGGTTGGTCTTTGCCTGGGGGCCATACCTTACAGTGGTCCGGAATGCAAAGCCTGTATCCCAGTTCTTTGTGACATCTCCCGGGGCCCAGGTTGATTTCTCACTCTTTGGGGTGTCTGTAAGCTCTGCTCCAGAGAGAAGCCCGCCATCACCTGATGCATCCTAAGGATTTCTTCCCACTTAAAGCCAACTTTTCGCTGTTCGTTGGATGATTTGAATACTCCATCCATCTCTCGCCTTCATGTTTTCAGCTTGTCATGTCTTCTTCAGGAACCTTCTCTTTGCTTCTGGCTAAGTCAGTGGCCATGGCCCGCTCCCTGTGTCAGACTCTTTGAAATACGTGGTCTTGCTCTCCACCCCAGCCTGCAGTTGCTGTGCGGACAAACCCGGGACTGAGGAGAGAATAGGCATGTCTCACTACTGGGCAAGAGCTTCTAGAATCAGAGTCCAACAGCACCTGAGGTGACTGCAGCCAGCGAGGAACGTCCAGCTCCAGTCGCCTGAAGGCCACTGTGGGTCACTCTCACCCCAGAGAGGCTGAGGTACGCAGGCAATGCAGACCATGGCTTTCAGGGCTACAAATCCCCTCTGGTCCCACAGAGAAGAAAGCTCTAGAGCCACGACTATCCTGCACTGTGTATGACTGAGGAAAATGCCTTTTCAAACCACCTGTGACAGGGACTCTTGTGCAGTTCCTGTTCCTCTGCGGTTCGCTGCTGAGACCGACCCGTTAGGTGCAGACGCGTTTTAGACTGCTCGTTTTCAGGCGCGGCATTTCTTCCCTCTCACCCGGAGTGACGTTAGCTCTGGACCATGTCTGGATGGCGTTCCTATCACGGCTTCTCTTTGTCTCCCCGTTCTTTCAGAGTCTTCCTCTGGGTGTGCCTTGTAAATAAAATAGCAGACAGCTGCACTTCATTTTTCCATGGAATCCGAGCAGTCCTCTCAGCCAGGAAGTCTGCCCCTTCTATGGCGCAGTGACAGATGTTTGCTTTCGTTTCCATCATCTTGGCAACTATTTTCCTTTTATCCTTTCTCTGTGTTTTTCCCCCTTATCCTCCTGCTCTTTGGGTGGAAGTTGATTTTTTGAACTCCATTTTTACTTTTTGGGGTTGTTGGGTTATTTTTTGAGGGGGGGGTGTTTGTTTCATTTTGGGGACACATCTGGCAATGCTCAGGAGTTACTCCTGGCAGGGCTCTGAGGACCACATGGGAAGCCAGGGATTGAACCCTGTCGGTGGCATTCGAGGCAAGAGCTGTGCTACCCTATCACTCTGGCGCTTCCCATTTTTACCTTTCTGGACATGATTAACCCTTTCATCACCCCGTCGTGTGGTGATGTGACATCTAGAAGGAAGAAAGTCTTCAGTCCATCAGGGCCAGCACCTTCCCTGGAACAAACTAAGAACATCTCAACTCTTAGCATCAGATTTCACCCCTTTGCTTGCTTCTTTGCTGTTTATTGTGTTTTAATGGAGAAATACATCAGCTGTTTGACAAACAGCATTTGAAAAATACAAGAAGTACAGAGAGTACAGATACCATAAAACAAAGCAAACTCCAGTCCTGAGACGCTACATATAGCTTACAGGGGAAAATAATCTGATATTTCAGGTAACGAAAACTAGAATTTAAAACTTTCATGTTTCCACGCTGGCAAAACAAGTAGTACAGTTGCACAAAACAGTTAATGAGCTAATTCTTCCCAGGCCACCTTTGGGTCTGGCTCCACTGCTGGGAAGGAGCAGAGCAGATGGGCACAGCAAGGTAGCCACTGACCCGGGGGAGGGCCAGGTGGGCAAGTGGCCACACTGCAGAGCATATAAAGACAGAGAGGGAGGGCAGGAGTCAGTTTCACATGAGAAACACACATATGTGGGAGAAAGGGACCTGAGGAGGGGGCGGGAGGCGGGGCGGAACCAGGCAATTTGGAAAACCTGTTAGTTGGCTGGTTGCGATTAGAAAGCTGTTAGGCTCAGACAGATGCACGTTTCCGTTCATCTGCACTCCTGGTCCATGTTCCTTAACCACAGCCGTCCTGTTTGGTTTGGGGCAGCCTCTTGCCATTTGAACAGAGACCATCCTAATCTTCGGAAGTTGCATGAAACAAAAGGCTCAGAAACAACTAGAGGTCACGTGCTCACTAGAAATGATGTCTGCTGTATCTACCGGTGAAATTTACTGACAAATTGGGGTGAACTGCTCAAAAGAAAAACTGACTCGAAATTCTCCGTATGCCTCTCTGCTCGGGATCTGTGAGGTTTGGGCCGGAGAACCACCAGCCTATGCCAGGGACAGCGGGAGAGGCACCAGTTCTTGCATACAGAGCACCAAGACAGACGGACGGGAGGAGAGTTGGCCCAATTCTCAGAGATGGACTTGTTAAAAAAAAAAAAAAACTAGTCACGGACACAAAAGGTGCGGCTCTGTGCCCAGCAGCCACGGGGTGGCTGACTTCACGTCACAGCTAAGCTAGCATGAGCACACTCGTTTATGAGCCTGAAGACACGCCGCTGCACGCACCTAGCAAGGGGGAGGGGGAGACAATCGCCTTTTGCTTTAGGACAAACAACTGAGGACGTGAGAGACTGGGGAGTTTCAGCAGCACCAAGACAACCTGCTGTTTGACCGCTGATTGGATGCACTTGGGAACCAACCCTACAGCTAAGACCCATGTATCATTTCTTGATCGTGTCCTGTCAAAATCAAATGATTGTCTCAGGGTCAAATACTGACCCTTGTGTCAAGTTAAAGGCCCGCAGCTGGCTCTCTAGGTGGGGAGGAGCTAAGGCTTCTGTGCTTTCTCTGAGGGGGAGCACCCCACCGCACAGCGTATCAGGAAAACACTTCCAGAACTAAAATTCATCAAGCTGAAAAACCTAAAATTAGTTCTACTTTCTAAGAAAAATATATAAAGTGCATCATCAGTATAAAGAATTCTGATACCAGTTTGTATTGCAAAATTTTCCCCAACAAAGCATCAAACACAAATCCAGTGCAGCTGTCAGCCATGGGTACAAATATAGCTGGAAGGGATTTTCTCTCTTTTCTCTTTATGGGCAGTAGTCCTTTGAAATAGTTAATAAAACTGTGGCTACCACAGGAATAATCTGACACATCCATACTATCCTTCTAGCTCCACAGACTAACTTAGACTTGTGCTCAAGACCAGCCCGGTAAAGGAAATTCGCGACAAGCCTAAATCTCTTGCAGTCCGAGCTAGCTGGAAGCCCTCCGTCTCCTCCTTTCGCATCTGAAGGGAACAGGCTGAGCTGGCAGACAGCGTTTAGGAACCTGAGTTGGTCTGATCAGTTCAATCTGCTTTTATTGAATTCTTGATAACAGGAATAGGATTTGCAGGGAGAGCAGGGGGCACTGAAGGCTCTGCAGTGGAGATGTCTCTGGGAGGCCCCAAGAGCAGTGGTGGCCTTAAGAGTTGCCAAGTGGACTGAGCCGGCGCTGTCTCTGAGACTGCCTCTTCCGTTGCACGTCTTTGGAGGATGTCCGCTACACGCCTACTATTGGGTTAGCGATGTTTGCGGCCGCGCTCCCTGAAGGCCTGGGTGGATGGTTTACCAAGCATGTTGAAGGAACAACTCTGGTGACTGTGGGTTTTGGTGGCGGACAAGTGGCCAGCTGGGAGGCCGGGTGAGGCTTGTTTTCACCTGATGCGGCCCCCAAGCTTTCGCCAGGGCTCGCTGGTTGCAAGGAAACTTCGGTCGCCTGGCCCTGGCTCCCAGCGGCAGCAGGGCTATTTCTGCCCTGTGAGCTGGCGGGCCCGGGGCCGGTCTTCACAGCACAGGCAGGCGGGGCCATCGGCAAGCTGTCTTCACTGGCCACAGACAAGCTGAGGCCACTGTCGGCCAGGGTGGTCAAGTGGACAGCCCCCGCGAGTGTGTTCTTCCGCTGAAGCACATGATCTGGCAGCAGCTGATGGAGTTCCTTTCTTCTTAAATGCAGTGCGGCGATTTTCATGTCCATCTCAAACATCTTGCTGTTGATGGCCTGCCTGTAGACTGTGTCTGTGAAAGACTGGATATCATAGGTAAGATCAATACTCAACACCTCTGAGTTCTCTGGTTTCTTTAACACCAACCCAATCACCCACATGGTGCGAAACTCGTCCTTGTCGGGACTTTCTTTTGGTGCCGGAAAGGACTGCGGGTTCACGTGTGCCAGTGTAATGAACTCGTTTTTCTCCAAGCTTCCCACCAGGATTCGGATTTTTGACTCCACCAAGCCCACCCACTCTAGGTGCTGTTTCTCGGTTGGGGCGCTGGCTAGAAGGACAATATAATGCTTGTACTTCTGAAAGAAGCTTGGTGCTTCGAAGAGCTTGGACCACTCCGCCTTGCTCAGCAAAATCTCGTGGGTGATGGCGAGTCCTTGCTTAAACTCCTCGATCATGACCATCCGCGTGGAGACAGACACGTTGTAGGTGGAGTTCTGCTGTGGGTAGGCGGGCGTGATGATAGGCATGAGGTGGTACCTGTCGCTGGGGTTGACCCGGGGGTCCCACACAGGCAGGTTGAGGTTCCGTTCTTCAGGCTCTTTCAGCAGCACTGGGTTCGGCCATTCCCACTCGGAGAACACCAGGAAAAACTTGCGGACCAGCGTGGAGGCCACAGCATTTGGGTAGAGCTGGCAGGTTCTGGCTACCAGCATGGCCCAGGAGACCCCTCCCAGGAAGCCCAGGATGTTGGAATAGATGTTGTGGCACTTGGCCCACAGTTTGATGGCTCTCAGAGTGAGCCGGAAGTTGTCGATGTTGGGAACGAGGTGCAGGATCTCATCGGTCACCCGGCAGCCGTTGAGGCTCCGTATGCACCTGATGTCTAGGTTCTTGAGCAGGCTGTCGTCCCTCAGGTCCAGGTCTTCGGGGATGGTCTGCAGGGCGAGTCTGGCGAACAGAATATCAATCTCGATCCCATCAAAGCATAGTTTGATCACGGGCACGAAGGCCTCCTCCACAGCCCGGAGATCCCTCACGTCTTGGTGGAGCTTCAACTTGTCATAGAAGGAGGTGAAGAAGTCGCTGCGGTCCACGTGCCGGGGCGCCACGCACAAGGCATCGATGTCGGCGCCCTTGGTGTGGACCCCCAGCCGGTACGAGCCGAAGGTGAAGATCTTCCCGCCCACATTTTCCACAACAGCCTGCGGCAGGCTCTTGCTTTCGCTGATTTCTCGGATCCATTCCTTGACCAGGCTATTTAATTTCTCCAAAATTAAAATCCTGCGCTGCAGTTCCTCTTCCTCCTCGAACACGCCGAAGGGCGTCAGGGTTTCGATGAGCTTCTGGGTGAGCGCGCGGTCCGTGTCCCGGGGGGCCGCCTCGCTGATGGGGCAGGAGATGCCCAGGTGCCTGGGCGCCGGCGGGGGCCCCGCAAACGGCATCGTCGCTAGCGCCGGCCCCGCCGGGCCTTGGCCCCCGCCGCCACCGCGACCTCGGCGGCCGCCCGGGTCATGATCCGCTGAGGCGGGAGGGGCGGGCTCCTCGCAGCCCCGGTCCGAGCCGCTCCAGCTCCGCTCCCGCCGCTTCAAGCGCTTCTCGGCCGGCCCTTTGGCCCCAACATGGCGCCCAGGCCCTCGGCGGGGCGTTCTAGAATGGCCGCCGCCGCCGCGCGCACGCGCACACGGCAAGCGCAGGGGCGCACGCGCACGCGGGGGCGCGCACTCACAGGCACGCGCGTCCACACACGCAGCGCACACACGGGGCACGTGTGCAGAGTGGCAGGCGGGTGGGCGCACACATGCACATAAATGGGGGCACGCACACACACACACACACACACGGGGTGCCCGTGCACACGGAGTGGCGGGTGCGCGTCCCTCCCCCGCCCCCCCCCCCCACACGGCGCACAGGGCAGCTTGGAGGCGGTGCCAACTCAGGTCATGCCTGATCCAATCTGGTCTGGGGATCCGTGGCCATGGCCCATTGCCCGGGCTACCGTTTCCTCTGGCCCAGCAGAGCTCTGTCCACTCCCGGTGCCCTTAAGGATTCACTCAGTGACGGTGGCGAGGAGGCGGGGACTGCCTCTGGTGGGCCAACCGACTGTGGACGGGCAAAGGCCAGCCACTGCACCAGAACCCCAAGCAGGGCTCCCCTCCTCTGCACCTCTGCTCCCCCCATCCTCTGTGCACCTCTTCTCTGCGCACCCTTCTCTCTGTGACACACCCCTCCCCAACCCAGTCCTCCGCATGCCCCACCTTCCCAGACCCCCACTTCTGGGACAATTTTCTGTTTGTTTCTTTTTTTTAAACCTCTTCAGGCACTCCCTTGTGATTTCCCCCAAGCTCCTCTTCCTTTTTGGATGGCGTCTGTTCTTGTTCTCTCTCCTTTGCGCCATCAAACATTTAGCACAAGCTATGCAGCCAGTAGGCCTGGTCTGTTCTATCCTATAAGAATGGATACGCCTCTGGTACAGAGTAAGGCATGTGTCTTGCATACCACAGAACCAGCAGAACCAGCCAAGTTTGGTCTTCGGCATCACTATGGTCCCCTGAGCACCCCTATGCATCACCAAAAACAAAGACAATGAGAGTGGGAGCCACGGGGTCCCGTTCACTTCCTGACCCTTTCTGAGGGCGCATCTCGTGTTGTATAGGGGTGTGAGTTCATGTGTGGCCAGGCTGGCATAGCCAGGTGGGGCCTGGGAGGCCCTGCCAGGAACCATCTGCTGTCCGGTGATATGTGCCAAGCACCAAGTGAGGAATGCAAGTGGACCCTTCCCCAGGGACCATCCATATCACAGCCTCTGCAACTACAGGGTCAGAATCTCTCTGGCCTGCCTCCTGGACCCTCACTTCCCCTGCGCTGAGATGCTCCTCAATGTTGCTTCCTCCCTGCTTTCTCAGACGCAGTCACAGGAGGCACGGCCAAGTACTGAATGAAAAAAGGTTTCCCTATGACCCTACAGCTGCTACACGGAAGCCGTTTTCCTGCCTAGTGTAGCACCAATTGCAATGAGCTGCTAGGGGCAGCACATGGCTCCCTGGTTGGTGCTTCTCTGACTGCTCCCATCACGCGCCCTGCTGAGTCATCACAGCCGCCAGTGGTCAGCCATCGGTGCCTTCTCACAGCCCCACCACCACTTCCATGTGGTTGGTGACTCTTGCCCCCACTCTGGGTCCCAGTGACCCACCTTTAGAGTCTCAGAAGCCCTGGGAGGGGGCAGCCCCTCCCACCACCATCTGCGCCTCTCGGTAGCACCCTTCCCAATTGGAAGTGGCATCTCCACCAACCACCCACGGGCACCGCACTGCAGAGGAGCACTGCTCCTCTCTCCTCACCCTCAACACTGACTGGTCCGTGGAGTCCACCTCTAGGGAGTGTCCCACCAGGCAACACACAAAACTACACCCGGTATCCCCCATCTCCGGGAGATATGGAGGTGCAGGAGCCAATTCCCTGCAGGGAAAGGCAGCGGGTAGGGGTGGAGCCAGAGGACAGCAGGGAGGGCACTTGCCTTGCACGCAGCTGCCCTGAGTGTGACCCCCGCCATCCCATATGGTCCCCCAAGCATGCTAGGAGTAATTCCTGAGCTCAGGACCAGGAGGAGTGACCCCTGAGCATTGCTGGGTATGGCCCAACTCCTCCCCCCCCAAAAAAAAAACTACCTAGAGTTAAAAAGAAAGGCAGAGAGAGAAACGCTCCTGACCCAATAGGGCACATGCCAATGTCTTGGACCAAACAGCAGCTCGAGGAGCCAGCGCCCTGCCTGACCTCTGGCCCAGTGGGCATCCCTCTGCAGTGCCAGCGACAGTCCAGCGAGCTCAAGCATGTCCTGGCACCCTGACTCTGACCTTAGCGGCCGATCAGGGGAGGGGCTGAGGCCTGCCCACATGCAGTGGGCACTCACAGGTCTGGTTTTACATTTCCCAGTCTGTGGGCACCACTGTCTGCAAGTGCCCAAAGCGTGGCCATCCTGTTCTCCCAGCAGTGGCCACTGCTATTTCTAAAGTCACAGACCCATCTCACCTCCAGGAATTGCTCTTGGCTGGCACGGGACCCCAACCCCGACCCCAGGGCCAGGCTTATTCCTTGACCCTATGATTTTCACTGATGTCCAGGTCTTCAGTGCCTGCCCAGGAGAGACCCAGTGACCCTTCTCTCTGAGCAGAGACCACCCGGGCAGCCTGTGATCCTCTCTATGGGGCACCAATAACTCCCATCTCAGTCCCATAAGCCATCACTGGCCACCTCGGCCTCTCACTACCCTCTGGGCCTCTCAATATATCATCTTTTTTTGTTGTTGTTTTTTGTTGGTTACTCCTGACTCTATACTCAGGAATTACTCCTGGTGGTGCCCGGGACACCATATGAGGTGCCGGGGATTGAACCTGGGTCAGCCACATGCAAAGAAAATGCCCTCCGCATTGTACTATCGTTCTGTCCCCTCAATATCATCTTGATGCACAGAGAGAAGCAAGACCAGGCTAAGGAATGTCTCAAAGTTCCTCAGGGACTTTTAAAGTCACTTCAGGTAAGACTGTAGAAAAGCTTGGGGAGAGGCAGCACAGTGGATAAGGAATCTGCCTGGCTTATAGCCCCTCTAGCTCAGTACCTGACACCACAGTGCCTCTGACCCCCATACCCATGAAACCACTGGCAACAGTCGCGAACGTACACTCAGCCCTGGTGAGGGCCCCGACCCAAGCGAATGTGACAGTGACTGAGAAATGTGGCTTCACACATTTGAGGTGGGACACCTGGGACTTCTGAGCACCCGTGACCCCTTGTCCACACCCTTGGCGTGGACAGACAGGGTCCCCAAGGCTGTCTCCGACGTCGTGAGACACACGGCGGCACTGACGCTCCTGAGACACACAGCCCAGCCTACGTAACCATGTCCAGATAAGGCGGACTCGCCCCAGGCACTGACACACCTAAGACAGGTGCTCCCCCACACGAACTGAGTGGCCCCTGGTGCCGAGTCCAGCTCGTTCACCCTGCACGCTGACCACTGTGTCCCTCTCCAGGGCTTCCTCAGGTTAAAGCAGTCAAGGGAGATGCCAACCCCTCAATGCCAGGGAAAGGGGTGCTTTGCCTTCTTGTGCCCCCGCCTGGTGTGAAACGGAAGGTTCAGAGACGCCTTCCTCAACCCACTTCAAACTCAGCAATCAAACCCAGCTGCAGAATTTGAGGAGCTGTTGAGGGTGTCTTATCAAACCCAGCCACCAGCATTCTGTTTGCACCAAGAGGAAGTCACATCCGAGCCAGGGAAAGCGTCACCCAGAGATAAACGAGGTGCAAGGCCAGGTGGCCCCCTTCATCCCGTGATAAGACCTACAGAGTCCTGCACCATCCCCAGGGTCCTGTCCATCTCCAGGTCCTGCCCATCTCCAGGGTCTTCACCATCTCCAGGGTCAGCACCGCCCACAGGGCCTAGCTCTGCCCACAGAGCTCCCGCACCAATCAGAGCCAGAGGGGCTGCCTCTCAGGTGGACAGTGTCCTGAGCCTTGCAGGTGTCCCCAGCTCAACTCAGCTTGACCCAGCCCAGGTGATGCATATCTCTTGGAATCTCCAGGGCCAGTGGGCACAACTGTCTTCAATTGTGGGCCTGTGGCATTTCTGGGTGCCCTCACCGCGGAGGTGCCCCTGGCTCCCAGCAGTAAGACCAGAGCACCGCCCAGGCCCACGATGTACATAAGTCACCCCAGGCACCAACCAACCTCTTTATCCTTTCCACCAACACGCTGGCCCCACAGACCATGCTCCCGCCCGCACAGAGAGTCACGGCTCTACCAGCTCATCTGGGTGACAGGAGCGGCAGAGAGACCCACTGCTCCTCTCCCATACCAGCCAGGACACAGAGGACAATGGGCACCCCAAGGCCACACACGGCCCAGATCTGGCACTGCTGAACCCTGAGCCCAGAGCTCCAAACACACCCGTTCCAAAACCATTGAAGAACACCGGGAACTGGCGTGGGGACAACGGGCGCACTGACACTCCTGAGACGCACGGCCCAGCCTACATAACCATGTCCAGATAAGGCAGACTTGCCCCGAGCACAGGGGACACTTCACCTATCCCTGGGAGTGGACAAGGGTGGGGGGGGCTTGACCACAATGAACTGGCCACCCATGGGCCTGCCCTCCTGGTAGACACACCTGTCAGCATGCAGTACCTGTGACTATTCCCACTAGTACCACACCTGTGGCCACCTGTGAGCACACACCTGTGAGCACCCCTGTGAGCACATACCTGTGAGCAACCTACTTGTGAGGACCCCACCTATGTGCACCCCTATGAGCACACACCTGCTCCCACACACGTGTGGGCACCCCCACCTGCTCCCACACCGCCCCCACGCCCTCTGCACTTGGTCTCTGGCCGTCCTTACCTGCGGTCATGGTGTCCACGTCCCGGGAGGCCAGCTCCTCTATGTCCGACCGCCGCCGCAGCTCAAACCTCCGAGCCAGGCCTTCCCGGGGCTTCCACAGCTCCTGCACCAGGAGGGGCTTCTCATGGTCCCCGAACACGCGAAGGCCCTCAGGCCGCCACTGGCGCCCACCCCCGCCAGCCTGGCCCACCACGTCACAGAGCACAAAGTGGCCGGCACACTCAGGGCTCAGCGCGTAGCGCTCCAGCGCCTCCTTCACCAGCTCGCAGGCGCTCGATGCTCCCGTGGCCAGGACGCTCTTGTAGTGGGCGCCCGAGCACACGCTGTCCCCAAACACCTTCAGCACCCCAGGCGCCGAGAGCTGCGTGGATAGCTCGGCAGGGTCATCACCGGCGCCAGGACTGCAGGGGGTATCCAGGCCGCGGGACTTGGAGCTCAGTGTGCGGGACAGCACACCACTCAGCAGCTGGCCCTGGCGCTTCAGCCTGCGCGTGGACGGTGGCGACATGACCAAGTGGGTCCCATAGAACATGGTGCGGGCTCCAGAGGGTCCTGGGGAGAAGCAGGGGCTGCTGTCAAGGACATGTGGGCCACAGCGGCAGCACAGTGGGAAGGGCATTCACCTTGCACATGGCCAACCTAGATTCGATCCCTGACACTATGGAGGTCTTCAAGTCCTACCAGGAGTGACCCTGAGCACAGGGCCAGGAGTCACTGATATTCAAAAATAAATAAAGGCTATGAACCCCCCCCCCCCAGAGCTCCAGTCTTGCCCCCAACCCGTCTTGATTCCACAAGGTGCCTGAGGGCGGGCATGGCCACAGCTGGGGTTCCCAGAGGGACCCAGAAAGACCCAGCCTGTGTGCAGGATGCCCTCAACTGCTCCTGGAGGCACTGGGTGCCTGCTGCAGGTCACACCACAGCCACGACAGGATGTGCCCCACAGGAGGTGTCCAATATGGAAAGTCACTCTAGCCTGCCAGGACAGGAAGCTGGGGGGAATGGGTGCAAGTCACTCCCCCTGGTGCTCCCAGTCCAAAGGTGGGCAGTCTGCATGCATGTGCACACTCATACACACACATGTGCACTCACATGCACACGTGCACACATGCACTCACATGCACATATATACGCAGAATGTACACACACATGCACACATTCACATTCGTATATATGCATATGCACACATACATACATGCACACTCACACACATGTGCACACATGCACATAAACACTGACATTCATACACATATACACATGCACACACACGCATTCACACATGTGCACACTAACACATACACACGCACTCACATGCACATTCACATGCGTACACTCACACCCACATTCATACACACAGAGTACACATGCACACTCACGCATATTCACACATACACATAGGTGCACACATGCATACATGCACACTCATATTGATACATGCACACTGGTGCACACACGCACACATGCACGGACAGGCGGCTGTGCTGACAGTTCCTGGGACCCCAGCAATGGGAGCACCCCAAGGAAAGTGGCAGAAGGAGGAGGTGGGATTGGAATGCGGCCTCCACCCACCACGGCCAGCCCGGCTGAGACGCCACTTCTCGCCTGCATGACACTGCTCTGACCCAGGTCCCACTGTACCATGCGTGAGTGCGTGGGACACCCTGTCCCCAGGGCCCACCAAGACTGGGGGATGCAGGAGAGCAAAGCACAAGAAAGCATGGACCCCACAAGACCAGAGCACAAAGAGCTTCTAGGAGCCTCTGTCCCCATATCAGCAGTACCCGGAACTCACCCTCAGCCATGGGGCCCGGCGAGACAGGATTCCTGGGAGGCTGAGACCCCAACCAGCCCGTCCAGGCTCCTCTTGCCTCTCTTTCCCACCCCAGCAAAAGGCTGGGAAGCAGACCGTCAACTACCCGGGCCCTCCAAAACCAGCCTCAGAGATGTCCTCAGAGGACCCCAACTCTTCACAGCGCTTCCAAGAGTTGCCCCACCAGAGACTGGGTCTCGTTCTCCCAGGGATCAGGCAGGACCCCCGCCCCAGAGGGGGTGTTCAGTCAGGGCCCCCCACCTCAGGGTGCTCGGGCAGGCTGTAGCTCACGAGGCCTCCTGCATACATAGCCTCAGGACCGGAACTCACATCACACAACCCCAGCACCTGCTTTGACGAGGAGCAACAGAGCCGAGGGTGGGGGAGACACAGGCAGCGGTACAAACCCACTCATGTCCCCACCCCTCCCACATGCTCCCCAGGGCCCCTCCAATGCTGAGTGGCCAGTGGCGGCACAGACACGAACTCCAGAGGCCAGGAGGCAGCTGAAAGGCTGGAGCGCCCTGTGCTGGATGGAGCTGGCAGTTTCCACCATCACCCAGGAGCCACCGGGGTAGCCCCCAAACCAACATGCTGGGAGCTGGGAGGAGCCCACCCGAGCAGCCATGTGGTCCCTGGGCTGACAGGCCCAGGGTGGGGGAGGGGGGCCTAGCTCCAGGGCTCCTGGGACAGCAGCTTACACAATTTTACTCAAAATACAGAAAAGCAGGCCGGCCAGGGGTGGGCTCCCGGGGGACCCTCCTCAGCAGATGAGGGGGGTTGGGGGGTTGGAACTCCCGCTGCTACTCAGCCGGTCTTCTAGGGGCACCTCTTGCAGTGGCCTTTCCCAGGGACTTCGTTTCTGTCTACAGGCGGGGTCGAGCCCACGCCGCCAGGCAGGGGCCAGCAGGCAAGTGCCTGCCCGGCTTCGGGGGACAGGACATGCCCTTCCCACGCCACTCTCTCCTCTTCATTCCCACACTTGCTCGCGGGAAACAGCCGGGAAGCTGGCTGCGGCTTCGCTTGAAAATGTTTTCCTCTGGGGATGGGGAAGAGGAAAACAAGGCCACGTCGTCTCCCTGGCCAGCGGTGCAGGGCACGGGGTCAGGGCCCGGCCGACAATGGGTGGAGGGCCGTGGCGGCCGGCCCTGTGGTGTGGAATTCATTAGCCTCCACCAGGACCCAGTGGCCGGGGGACCCACTGGCCCCCAACCCACTTGGACAGCCCAGCTGAGCGCTCAAGCACAAACAGAGTTTAATCAGACGTCAGGGGGACAGCCGCCGCAGCGCGGGGCCGGCTCCTCTTTGGAATGCTGAGAGTCCCGCGCTGTCCGCAGACACCTGCAATCAGGGCGGCTTGGAAATTCTTTGGGGCCATTCAGGTTAGCCAAACACTCCACCAGGGCCGGGCTGCCGCCGGGCGGCACCCACCAGAGTGAAAACCGGGCCGGCTCCGTGCCGGGGGTCGGGAGCCCAGGGGCAGGCTCGGGGAGGCGGGGGAGCACAGGTGGAGCGAGGGGCGACAGGGATCGCGGGGGGCGGAACGGAACAGACAGGAATAGCGGGGCCCGACAGCGGCGGCGGGGGAGCAGGCTGCGCCGCACGCGAGTGCGGAACGTGCTGCGGGAGCAGAAGCGCGCGCGGGCGGGCGGGCGCCCCTGCGGGCGGCCTGCGGGGCGCGGAGACCCCGGGGAGGGGGGCCGGACCCCCGGGGGTACAGAGGGCCTGGCCACCGCGGACTGCCAACCCCGGGCAGGCCGGGCCGCCCGCGCCCACCCGCCTCCGGGTCCCGCCCCCCGGGGACCAGCCGCCGTTTCCCAGGCAACCGCCCAAGCCTGGCCTGGGCCGGGGGCGGGAACTCGGCCCCGTGCGGGCCCCGCGGCGCCGAGCGCGCGCCCCGGGGGCTCCCGGCCGGACCTGGCGCCCCGCAGTCCCGGCCGCCGCCGGGGGCGCCCACGCCCCACCTCGCGCACCCCGCACTCACCGCACTCAACACCAGCACCGTCCGCCGCGGCCGCCGCGTCCCGCGCGGCTCCCACGCCCGCCGTTAGCGCAGCGCCCAGCCGAGAGCTCCGCGCGGCGCCTCCTGCCGGCCGCGCAACGGACGGGGCGGGGCCTGGTGGGCGGGGCCTCGGGGACGATGGTGGATGTCTGGGCGGGGCCTAGTGGGCGGGGCGTCGGGCCCGAGGCCTGGGCGGGGCCTAATGAGCGGGGTCTCAGCTAAGAGGCCTGGGAAGGGGCCTAGTGGGCGGGGCCTCGGAAACGAGGTCTGGGCGGGGCCTAACGGGTGGAGTCCGGTGGGAGGGGCTTAAGAGAGTGAAAATGAGAAGTGGGCGGGACTTAAAAGGAGGGGCCTGTGGAGGGCGGGAGTAATGGGCGGGGCCTCGGGAAATTCCGGGGTAGGGGCCCAAGATGGGCGGGGCCCCGCAGAGTGTGTCTGGAGGCAGGTCCTCATCGGATGCTTCGTGGGAGGGGCCTCTAAAGAGGATGAGGTGCCCTGGGTGGGGCCTTGAGGGAGGGCGGGCAGTCGCGTCAGCTCCAACCAATGGCAGGGAGCAACGGGGTGTGGGCGGGTCCAGGAGGTGGGGTTGCTGCTTGAGGGGCGTGGCCTTCGTGGGGGAGGGGTCAGTGCCTCTCCCTGGGGCTCTGTTTGGACCTCAGACCCTGGACCACAGGTGGGGCTCTGGTTTGTCCCGAATTTAGACTTCTACAGTGAACGTGAACGGGCCTAAGGAAAGGAAGGCGCAGATGGGTCTTCTGGAGGGCTGTCCCGATATCCCACCGCCATCCTAGGGGATAAGTTTGGCAATTTTGTCTCCCTTGCGGTATGTCCCCCTGCAGCCCAGATTTAAACAACAAATCAGATCATGGCACTGGTCTGTTTAAAACGTTGCAAAACGGAGCCAGGTCAGCTCCAGGGCTCTGGCCCAACAGCCTTGCTTGGGTAACTTGCTCTAAAAGAAAGTCATGTCCTTAGGGCGTATTCTGGCACCAGCCCTGGGGCTGGGGTTTCACCTTGAAAAAAGGCTTCTCAGAGACAGGCCCTTTTGTCCCTGCGTGGTGGCTCCAAACTAGGAGATCCACATGGGCTCAGACCGGAGAAAGAAGCAGCTCGACCCAGGAGCGAACCTTTCTAGGCCCAGAGGTCAGAACCAGGAGCACCTCCAGGCTGCAGCTCAAAGTGGGCCTTCTAAGGCACTTTCCACGCATGACCCTTTTTCGCTTGAGAAACCTGTGCTGGAATCCAGTTATGCATAGGATATCAAATTATGCAACTCATAGAAATTCATGTTTCTTTATTTACTAATTTTGGATTGAGGACCACACCTGGAGATGCTCAGGGGTTACTCCTGGCTCTGCACTCAGAAATTACTCCTGGTAGTGCTCAGGGGACCATATGGTATGTCAGGGATTGAACCCGGGTCAGCTGCGTGCAAGGTAAGCGCTCTACCCGTTGTACTCTCTCTCCAGCGCCTCTTGTGTAACTTTTTAAATATCTGTTTAAATAGGAATTGCGTGGGCCCGAACAGTCGTATGGCAGCTGTGAGGCTGGTCACTCAGGTTTTTCTGGAACACACATTCAGTCTGTAGTTTGTCTCGAAGTGCCTTCATGCCCCAGGCCTTATAGCCCCATCACCTGGGTTATTTGCCATCGTGCCCTTTCCGGGCCGAGCTTGCTCTTGTGGAGCCAGGCACACCATCTCCCAGGTCCTGCTGTGTCTCCCTGATGCTGCTGGTGTGGTGGAAGCCTCAGCCGTGCCTGTGTCCTTCCTCCCTGGACCAGCTGGGCATGCGCAGTCACCTTCCCGAGGCCTCGCCCAGACCCTCACGTGGATGCCCTGCATGGGACTGCCTCCACCTCCTTCTCTTCTTAAGGGGACACCTGTCACAGTGGATTAAAGTCCATCCTTATTCCCACTTAATCGCTTCTTGACAAAGCCAGGGCAAGTCACTGCAGCCCAGGCAGAGAAGCCTTTCTTGATCCCCACCCGGTCAGAGCGGGTGTGATGGCCCCAGCTCCCCTGTAGTGTGCAGGCCCCTGGATGGTCCCTTTTTATGCTGAAGGGGGCTGACCGTCAGCCTGTCCCTACATAAGGGTTCCTGCCCCCCACCCCGGCTGCCCCTCCATTGCCTTGGCACAGTCACAGTCACCCCCACTGCAGGGCCTCAGCCCTCCGCGGATGCCACCCCCAGAAACACAGAGGATGAGGATCAGATATGGATGGGCTTGGAGGCAGGTTGTTGCATAGTGATGGCCTCTTCCAGGAAGTCCTCCAGGACCTCTAGTCTGAGCTCACGCCCCCTCCTATACTCCCGCTGCCTTGGCCTGGCTTTAACATTCAATCAGCCAGGCCCACGGTGATCTTAAGTGGAAACCAGAGGTGCCCCTTCTGCTGTGAGACCCCAGACACCTAGAGCAATCCCCAACTTCTGCTGACTGGTGTGTCCCTCTCCATCACAGACCAGAGCCCCCCCCCTCCAGCTTGTCTTCAGACACTCCCAGTGTCTCATCTCATTCGGCCTCTGCACGCATCACCGGCCCCTCCCCTCTCAGCACTAGGGCCCAAACACAGTGTGTCCCAAGCCCGCCCTAGCGGGCCACCACACCCTGTTTCCGTTAACTCGCCTGCTATCAATTCCCACATTTCCTGCAGCTGGTGGCGGCTACCCACCTGCTGGCCCCTGCCCTCCTCGAAGGTGCACGGTGCATTCTGGTCTGATGAATAAATGCGGGAATGACTAAATGTCCACTCAGCCCAAGGTAGGGGCCAGGACGTTGCTTGGGGGAGAACATCTTCCTGCATATGGGAGGAACCAAGTTCAACCCCTGGCCCCCGCGGAACCTGAAGCATCTTCAACAAAGGAACGGGCGGCAGGCCCTGGAACCCCCCGCAAGTGTCTGAACTGCAGTGCTGCTGCGTCTCTGGAAGTCGGAGCAGTACTGGGCTGGGGCGGAGCTGCCGAAGGCTGGAACACTTGCTTTGCATGCTAGAGCCCAGGTTGGGTCTCCAGTACTTCACGGTTCCCTGAACAATGCCCAGGATGCTCAGCCCCTGTATCCCAAAGGGCGTAGCACCCCTATACTAGACCCCAGCACCCCAGGGTGTGCCCCTCGCCCCCATAATAAAAAGCACTGCCTGAGGAGTGGCTTTATGGCCACCAGAGGGTAGCAGAGTCACAGACTCAACTGGGGGAAGCACCCAGGAGCGGGTGGGGGGACTGGCAGCCCTGAAAGAAGTCAAGGGCAGGAGGAAAAGGCAGCTCCTGTAAAGGGCCAGCCCCGGGAGGGACAGGCAGCACAGAAACGGGGCTCAGTGGCAGGAGGCAGCGGACCAGCGAGAGCAGACTGCAATGGGCAGACAGAGGAGCCAGAGGTGACTTCATCCTGGCATTCCAGTCGGCAGAGATCAGCTTCGCCCAGCTGGGGCGTGGTCTGGCCCTCCTGTCCACGCGTCAGCCTGGCTGCAGCACACATGGAACAGCTTCAGGAACCCATGATTCACTGGTCCCTGGTGCCGACCCTCGTGGGTATAGGAGTCGGGGGAGGGGGACTGCAGGAGGACACGTGAGTCGCTGAGGAGGGCTGATGGTGCATGACACGCATGCAACCAAGTCCTCTCAAACACACACCTGGGGGGCTGGAGCGATAGCACAGTGGGTAGGGCGTTTGCCTTGCACGTGGCTGATCCGTGTTCGATTCCCAGCATCCCATGTGGTCCCCCGAGCATCGCCAAGAGTAATTCCTGAGTGCATGAGCCAGAAGTGACCCCTGTGCATTGCCCGGTGTGACCCAGAAAGAAAAAAAATAAAAAAGAAAACCTGGGGAGGCTTCAAAGAGCCCTTCCGAGTCTCTGGAGCAGCCCGGGGCACAGGGAAAGAGGCACCCAGGAGGAGCCCGGGGCTACAGGCCAGAACCTGGAGTGGCCCCACCCCAGATGACCCAGCAGTGCTCAGGACCGACCCAATGAGAAATGGGAGGAGAAATGGGAGAAATGAGAAATGGGAGAAATGGGTGGAGACGAGGAAGCAGAGACAGGACAGATCTCAGGCTGAGGTCAGTGAGCAGACAACGGGGGAAATCTGGTAGGGGCAGGGGGAGCCTTCTGACCCCCAAAGTGCAGGGGTAGCTGTCTCAGGCATCGGAGCTGGAAGGCATGGCTGCAGGAAGGAGGTCACAGGGGACAAGACGCAGCCACGAAGGCTGGCAAGCAAAAGGCTTTCAGAGCCACCAAATGCCCAGGGCCAAGCCCTCCCCCATCCCGAGACCTTAGACCATGCTTAGGAGTTGCCAAAAATGTGAGTCCGGGGGTGGCCTGCAGCTCCCTGGACGAAGTCCAGTGTCCCCTCCCCACTCTGCGGGGCACAGAGCCAGAGGCATTCCCTGGGCACTGCTGAGTGTGGCCACTAGGCAAAAAAAGGGGCCGGAGCAATAGCACAGCAGGGAGGGTGTTAGCCTTGCACACGGCTGATCTGGGTTTGATTCTCAGCATCCCATACGGTCCCCCAAGCACCACCAGGAGTAATGCCTGAGTGCAGAGTCAGGAGTAACCCCTGAGCATCACCAGGTGTGACCCAAACAAAAAAAAAAAAAAAGGAAGATGAAAGAAGGAAAGAAAATGCTCCCTCCAGGTGGCTGAATGACTTGGGCGTGAGCGAGAAGCGGCACTGGGGTGTGTGCCGGAGGGGGAGTCTTATTCCCTGCAGGATCATTTCCTGAACCCAGAACACAGCATCCTCAGTCAGAAAGAAGCACAGCTGCCTCTGGGCACAGTCGACAGGCCCCCTGCCACCCACGTCCATGCTGGGGGTGGACAAGTGGCAGTGGCTCACGTGCAAATGAGAAAGCACGGATCCATTGTTTCATATGTCTGGTTTGGCGCCACACCTGCGTGTTGGGAATCGCTTCTCCTGGGACCTGGGGGACCCTGTGTGGTGTCAGCTGCATGCAAGGCCAGTGCCTTCCCCACTGTCGAGCCTCTTGACCCCGGGATCCACTTTTGTTCAAACTGAGAACAAGGAAAACCAAAAGTGGAAAAGTGGGGTGCAAGAGCTCATTTTCTGGGAGTGCGGGTGGTGCGCAGAAAAGGGGGCATATC